TGGTCCACACCCGAGACAGCTTTCCTTCGAGCCTAGTCTCATATGGGTTGGACCAGATGACGCCAAAAGGCGCACAACTCAAGGACAATGCACCATCAGAGTATGAGAGCTCGGGGCAAGCATCTACACTATGGGGACCTCATTTGCCAGTAAAAAATATGATAATTGGTTCTTTACCCTTCTATAGAACCAGGCAGGGTGTTGACTGTTGTGTTAGCCGACTCTCTGTGTTGCATTGCATTGTATTTCTAAGTTCACTAGGTTTTTCTAGATTTGAAGTTTTCGTGACTGCAAGGGTCCATACTCTTTGGTTTTTTCGGTAAAGTCACGTAGGCAAAAAAATAAAATAAAGTAAAAAAATAAACATTAATATAATTTATTTTTATTTTTTACCTACGTGACTTTACCGAAAAAACCAAAGAGTTAATACTAGGTTTGTTTTCTCTTTCATTTGTACCTGATGATTGCTTGTGTTGCAATCGAAACGCCGTATGCTATTATTTATTTATTATTTTCTTTTTCTACGTGACTTTACCGAAATAACCAAAGAGTACACTAATATAATAATTAAATATTATTTCCTACACTTGTAGTGCTGTACTATACTGCTGTACTGCACTTGTAGGGTAGAACCTGTATCTGCATTGTCTTAGTCGAAGGGCATCTTTCTTCTTCTTAAGATTTAGAATGCGCGCTTAGGCACTGGCACACAACTCCTTAACTCTTGTGATCATGCCACGGGGTCTGCAAAGTCCGATTGCGGTAATTTCGCGAATTGCGTGCCCTATAAACAGCTTTGAGTCGGTGTCAGCGCTAGAAAATACAACTTTTGAAAGAGGTGAATTTGGTAATAAGTAGACAAGCAATAAATATGACAATGTTTAAGTAAGAAGGTATTACGGCATTTGTATTATTATTATTAAAGAGGTATTACGTTCTTTGAATGATGTTCTCTGATACCGTTGCAATCAAAGTTTTTTTTCCTCTTTCAAACCTGTTCCTCACTTCATTTTTTCCCATTTAAACTTATTCCAATCAACGTTTGTTTTCACGCATACAAGTTGAGTAACTTACCATTTTAAAAATGGTATTTTGTACTTCGTTGAGAATCATGCACGGATATTGGTTTTTTTTAACCATTCGCCTCTATGTGAACTCACTAGACTGAATGTAAAGTACACAATGCATGTATGTAGAACTTCTTTCGCACCCCACGTAGCCCACCGTGCTCATTGGAGATGCATTGTTATCTTGCTCACGAGTAGGATGAATATTGGTTGCGAGGATGCACGCGTTTGATCGATATTTCAAATTAAACGGCGCCTAATCAGACGGCGTAACGGACGGGAGATCCGAGGGCAATGAATGAACCAGGTTCAAAAAAGCTTTCTCTCTGTCTCTCGTGAGCCACCTGAGAAAGCGTGTGGCCCAAATGAGTTCTCACGGAAAGAGATGTATCTGAGTCAAGACTAGGACGCGACTCGTGGTCATAGACAACGACGAGAAATACAATAACGGGATGCGCGCCCTGAGATCTTGAGATCGTAGATTTGAAGCTTTCGTGACTGCAAGGATTCATACTCTTAGGTTTTTTCGGAAAAGTCACGTCGGTAAAAAATTATAATAATAAAAGAATAATACATGAAAATAACTAAATTAAATCATTTATTTATTATTATTATATATTTTTTTTACCCACGTGACTTTACCGAAAAAAAAATCGAAGAATATCTTGAGTTCGCTTCCTGGACACGGCTAAAGGGTAGGTTACCGTTAGGGGTTCGTTTAAAGGTTAGTAAACCACGCATTTATAATATTAAGTTCGCAAATCTCTACATATTTGGTAAATCCTCAATGAGAACAGAGGAAGACATCTCTCACGATCAAATATTTACCGAATTTCACTGACAGATTTTCACAAAGAGAGCACTCAAGGCACGCTAAGAGCTCATAACCATAACTGGCGTCAAAAAGACCGGTGCAGTATAATATTGTTACAATTCATGAACGTATCTTTTTATTTTTAGACAGCAAAAAAACTTAAATAAACGACTTACCCTCTGCTGCAACTCAGCGGCGAATGTGAAGTGGCTGTCTTTGTCCTGAAAAAAATGTGCCTGGTTTTTTTAAATGATTGTTTCGCTTTGCATTTGAGGAAGTACCTCTAAAATCTAAACTTGGGTGTGGGTGTTAGTGGTGACGCGGTGTTTAGAAGTAACTGCGCTGCGAACAACAGAGTGTAAGATCATTACCACTCCGGGCTTGTGGGAAAGGCGCAGGACTTAAAGGAAAAGGAGGAGGAGCCAAAAGAGGAAGGGGCGGGGCTTAATCAGGGGAGGGGCCTGCAAGTGGAAAGGGGAGGGGCCTGTAGAGGAACCCCAAATAAACAACCTTCAGCTTAACACGTAGTCAGTAGGCTTTTGCGACCAATATTATCCATAATGGAGGTTTTTTGGGGGGTTAGATCGTGTAGATGTAAATGTGTCGTGAAATCCACCACCACCCGACACAGCAAATTCGTAAGGTTTGTCACGAAAACAAAACATGCCAATTCGTTACTAGTACAGCACACCGGTGTGTTGGAGAGTAAACCCACAACATTGATTGGTTTACAATTGTAAAATATAAATTTTAAATGACGTCGGCTTTTGCGGATCACTTGAGCGTTAGCTTTTGAATTAACTATTTATTATGATTACGCACTTGTGACTTTCAAAAAATGATGACATTGACTTAAAAAAAAATCCCAATGCTTTAGCCTTGAGCTTCCCTATTGATTTAAGGAAATGAAAGCAGAGAATCAAATGGTGACAGCAAAAACAATCTTACGACAGAAATTTCTTCCAATAAAACTCTATGGTAAAACTCCCCCCATCCACTCAGCACGATCCGCAGTTGCAGTGCTGCGCTTTTGTCTTCCAATAGAACTCTATGGGACTATCCCCCCCCATCCACTCAGCATGGTCTGCAGTTGCAGTGCTGCGCTTTTGTCTTCCAATAGAACTCTATGGGACTATCCCCCCCCCCCCCCCCATCCACTCAGCATGGTCTGCAGTTGCAGAGCTGCGCTTTTGTCTTCCAATAGAAGTCTATGGGATTATTCCACCCCCCATCCACTCAACACGGTCCGCAGTTGCAGAGCTGCGCTTTTGCCTTCCAATAGAACTCTATGGGACCCCCCCATGCACTCAGCATGGCCCGCAGTTGCAGAGCTGCGCTTTTGTCTTCCAATAGAACTCTATGGGATTATTCCACCCCCCATCCACTCAACACGGTCCGCAGTTGCAGAGCTGCGCTTTTGCCTTCCAATAGAACTCTATGGGACTATTCCCCCCCCATCCACTCAGCACGATCCGCAGTTGCAGAGCTGCGCTTTTGCCTTCCAATAGAACTCTATGGGATTATTCCACCCCCCATCCACTCAGCACGATCCGCAGTTGCAGTGCTGCGCTTTTGCCTTCCAATAGAACTCTATGGGACTATTCCCCCCCCATCCACTCAGCACGGCCCGCAGTTGCAGAGCTGCGCTTTTGTCTTCCAATAGAACTCTATGGGACTATTCCCCCCCCATCCACTCAGCACGATCCGCAGTTGCAGAGCTGCGCTTTTGCCTTCCAATATAACTCTATGGGACTATCCCTCCCCCATCCACTCAGCACGATCCGCAGTTGCAGTGCTGCGCTTTTGCCTTCCAATAGAACTCTATGGGACCCCCCCCCATCCACTCAGCACGGCCCGCAGTTGCAGTGCTGCGCTTTTGCCTTCCAATATTACTCTATGGGACCCCCCCCCCATCCACTCAGCACGATCCGCAGTTGCAGAGCTGCGCTTTTGCCTTCCAATAGAACTCTATGGGACTATCCCCCCCCATCCACTCAGCACGGCCCGCAGTTGCAGTGCTGCGCTTTTGCCTTCCAATAGAACTCTATGGGACTATCCCCCCCCATCCACTCAGCACGATCCGCAGTTGCAGTGCTGCGCTTTTGCCTTCCAATAGAACTCTATGGGACTATCCCCCCCCCATCCACTCAGCACGGCCCGCAGTTGCAGAGCTGCGCTTTTGCCTTCCAATAGAACTCTATGGGACCCCCCCATCCACTCAGCACGGTTCGCAGTTGCAGAGCTGCGCTTTTGCCTTCCAATAGAACTCTATGGGACTATTCCCCCCCCCCCCATCCACTCAGCACGGCCCGCAGTTGCAGTGCTGCGCTTTTGCCTTCCAATAGAACTCTATGGGACTATCCCTCCCCCATCCACTCAGCATGGTCCGCAGTTGCAGTGCTGCGCTTTTGCCTTCCAATATAACTCTATGGGACCCCCCCCCCCCATCCACTCAGCATGATCCGCAGTTGCAGTGCTGCGCTTTTGCCTTCCAATAGAACTCTATGGGACTATCCCTCCCCCATCCACTCAGCATGGTCCGCAGTTGCCGAGCTGCGCTTTTGCCTTCCAATAGAACTCTATGGGACTATTCCTCCCCCCATCCACTCAGCACGGTCCGCAGTTGCAGAGCTGCGCTTTTGCCTTCCAATAGAACTCTATGGGACTACCCCCCCCCCCCCCCCCCCATCCACTCAACACGGCCCGCAGTTGCAGTGCTGCGCTTTTGCTTTCCAATAGAACTCTATGGGACTATTCCCCCCCCCATCCACTCAGCACGGCCCGCAGTTGCAGAGCTGCGCTTTTGTCTTCCAATAGAACTCTATGGGACCCCCCCATCCACTCAGCATGGTCCGCAGTTGCAGAGCTGCGCTTTTGCCTTCCAATAGAACCCTATGGGACTCTCCCCCCCCCATCCACTCAACACGGTCCGCAGTTGCAGAGCTGCGCTTTTGTCTTTCAATAGGACTCTATGAGACCCCCCCCATCCACTCAGCACGATCCGCAGTTGCAGTGCTGCGCCTTTGCCTTCCAATAGAACTCTATGGGACCCCCCCCCCATCCACTCAGCACGGCCCTCATTGGACAGAAACTGCCTCGTGACTTGGCGATTCCGAACGCACCCCTCGCGCCGAGGCCCTCCCACTCCTCCTCCTCTCTCGCGTTGCTCTCACGACCGCCGCCGCCTCCGCACGCCGCCACCACCACCACCACCTCCTCCTCCTCACGCCCTGGAGAGCCAGGAGCGGCGGAGTCATGTTTAAGAAGTAAGGGAAACATGTCGCGCGTCGCTTGAGACGGCAGTTGTCTTTTTTTTTTTGTTAAGTGGAGAGTGTCGGAGTCGCCGGGCTGGGATAGTGGCCTTCCGCCGGGGAAGTTGCGCCTTCCCCGGCAGGGATTCTATCCGAGGGTCGGTGTCTCGCGTGGGCCTCCTAAGGCCGACCACCTCGACACGTGTTCGCATCGGCAATTGTGATGCACTTGTAAATGTATTCACTTTAAAAGTGCGATTAGTGAACGCTTCGATGTTGACAACGATGTTTAAGAATGTGACGGTGCCCAGAAGCGTGATAGAAGGATCTATACGTGTTTGTGTTCAGCTGAGTGATGTTCATGTAGTACCGCGTAGGGAGTTAATTGCCACTTTTCACACAACGTTTAACTACTATAAACAATCCTTAAATTAATTGATAGATATAACATTAAGATGCGTTATTCTCCCGTTTGTCTTCTTGAACAGTCGGGGTTAGAGTTGTCAACGAGCGCCTATTAAGGCAAAGGCCAATGAATGATGAATCGTCATCCATGCTCATGCCACTGTTGGATGAAGGCCTTGCGATGTAATAATCCACCTTCGCGCCTGCTTACCAAGCCATCGCTTCTCATCAGCATGCTAAACTAATAAACCAAATAAACACATCATTTGCAGTGGCTAGTTCAACTAAACTAAACATTTTTTTATTTGACCAGGTTCAAAGTTCGTGTATTAGGTATATAGCCCTGTGAGCCATTCGGCTCTTGAATCGGGTGCAACCGCAACAAACAAAAAAACATGAACAAGAAAATATCTTAAAGTGACTATGTGCAAACAGAAAATCCAAGAAAAGACAGCAAAATATTGCAGAAAAATCACCGTAGACCAACCCTGTGCAAATATCCCAGTGGGATGCAAGTCAAACAACAATAACCACAAGACAACTTAGATTAAGGCCATCAGTCTAACTCTGTACTACAACAAACATAGATTAAGGCCATCAGTCTAACTCTGTACTACAACAAACATAGATTAAGGCCATCAGTCTAACTCTGTACTACAACAAACATAGATTAAGGCCATCAGTCTAACTCTGTACTACAACAAACATAGATTAAGGCCATCAGTCTAACTCTGTACTACAACAAACATAGATTAAGGCCATCAGTCTAACTCTGTACTACAACAAACATAGATTAAGGCCATCAGTCTAACTCTGTACTACAACAAACATAGATTAAGGCCATCAGTCTAACTCTGTACTACAACAAACAAACAGGTAAGGCCCGCTGAGCTACATGGCTATTTTTCAGAAGCCAACTTGGCCACAAATGATAGCTCAACGAAGTGGCTTATCACGTCGACATTTATAGCAGCCAGATACTCTAACCGCGTGATGTCGATTCTAAATGTGGAAGGAAAACCGGAGGACCCGGAGAAAAATCCACGCGACCACGGGGAAAGCAACGTGCACATTTCAAATATACAGCAGGCGTCAGGGTCATGATCGAACCCACGACTTCCTGTATACCAGGCGAGGTAGTTAACCTTTAGCCACTTTTGTTATCTGTACAGATATGCATATCACCATAATCGTCAATTAATCATTATCTTCATGGGTTGATTGTTGTTCTTCATCTAATACCACCGTTGCCCCTTAAAACGAATTGGTCAAACATCCCAAAGCAGGACCCTCCTGAAAACGAGTCTTGGGACTCGGCGAGGCTCTCCTGCTTAAATATAACGATCAGAGTTGGATTTTAAGCGCGTTTTCGTTGTGCCTACGTAATGCGTATTAGATTGCATCAGTAGCGACAGAATGGAGAGCAGTTGGAATACACAAATGCACCAACGTATTGTTGAAATATAGCATAAGACAGGTCATCAGTCGTCTTTATAATGGCGTCCTTTATTTATCCACGAGATACTCGAAGTCTCAATAGTTTTCTACGAGGGTCCTGAAATTGGAATGTTTGGCGATTTAAACAAGTGTTTTTTTTTTGTTTTGTTTGCGAGGATATCAGGGTGTCCGGAGAATACTCGCACGTACGAGGAGATCACAATGTTACAAAGAGATGTAGTAAATTCACAAACCCACTTGATCGTACTGCTCATGGCCAACCTCACAGCCTCAGCGCGTGAGATTGGCCATGAGAGTTTCACAGTAGACTCGTGGCGCGGAAAAAAGCTTGATAACCCAAATGCATTCTTATCAAGAAAAACCCATGCAAGTGTCATTGGAACTATTTAAATTCCACTTGAGATAGTCTTTTATCGTAGAATTTTCCTACAGATGGCTGCACAATGAACTTAATTCATTCTTTCCATTCACTTAATCTGCCTACTTTCGAAAATGTCAACTTAATGGAAAAAAGTAATCGTCTAATTATGAGATTTTTCTTGCGTCGTTCATGCAAATTGCATCTCACAATTGCTGCTGAGGATCCGCAGACCACGCTGCAAGGCTGAGTGTTTGTACACGTGGGAGCAAAACGAAGCACCCAGAGAAATCTGACGCATGCGAGCAGGGCAACACTCCATCTCATACCGAAGGGGACGGATGAAATCAGTCCACACTGCTGTAACTGCATTCTGCTGGCGAGGCAGGATACAGCACGGGAACGGAGTCTTGCAAACATTTTGACATTTGTGCGGTGATCTACCAACCCTCGATGAATTACAGGCGTGCGCCTATACCGCCTGGCTAGTGGCAGAAATATTCCGGCCAATGATATTCTGTGGGTTATTAAACTTTAAACAGGACACCCCCTTAATTAATGTGCTCCACTGACTCTTTCTTCCAATGTAAATTGATTACAGGCCTTAGCTCGTATGCATTGTTTGCAACAAAAAACACATGATAACCTTCAAAAACTGCCAAATCTCTGTTGTGGCTTGATGCACAACTCATTTTAAAACAGCAACCCCAACACACAACTTCGAATAATGTAGATGGTGACAAAGCTCTTCTAACACTGTAAATGATAAGAAACTCATCAGACAGAAAGCTGTGTGCAGGCTGGAAACAAATACGAGTAGTAGTGCACACAAAAGGAGATTTTTATGCTGTAATTGTAAGGCATGCAACATTCCCATACTGCGTGTATAATGTACACAGCGCCTTGCCGTAGATCACCAATGCAAAAGAGTCAAATGTGGCAAATATTGAGACGGCGATGACAGTAATTAATACAACTTGCTGGAATGGCCTTCTTGTATGTGTGCGTGTGTACATGTGTGTGTACGTAGGGGGATGCGGTAGCTCACGAGCAACTTCAGTGACGATAATCTGAACCGGTCCTGGGCCTCCCCTAGGTCGACTCAGCCTCAAATGAGTACCTGGTCCAATGTGTAAACAGTGCCACTGGGGAGATGAAGGTGGTTGGCCGTGGTGCAGCCCACCCACCTCTCGAGTAGCACAAGCCCCCCCAGCAATCCATTAAAATCCGTACGGGGAACCTTTGTCTTTGTGTGTGTGTGTACGTGCATAGGTTTGAGGAGAAGGAGAGTGTGTCTACATGTATGCAGCTGAAGACATCGGTGATCAAGTCGATCCGGAATCAGCTGCTGGACCAGTACCCTGCCATCGAGCCCTACCTCAACCAGATCCTGCCCAAGAAGGACCCATTTAAGATTGTCAAGTGGTAAGCCTTGCTCAAGCACCCCCTGGCTGTTCATCACTAACTCTGTCTCCAAACTGTGACCTTTTTGGCCAGGCAGTGTCTGTCGCTACCACTATGCCAGAAGTAAACATTTGTTATACTGGTAGGAACCCACTGGTTCCACCAGCCCACAGGGGATTATTGTGTCCGTCGTGCAGGGAGGGGCTGGGTGGGGAGGCAGGGGCTGGGTGGGGAGGGGAGGGGCTGGGTGGGGAGGGTGGGGAGGGGCTGGGTGGGGCTGGGTGGGGGGTGGGAGGGGTGGGGCTGGGTGGGGAGAGGCTGGTCACCCTGTGGTGCCCTTATAAAACTCAACGTTTAACCTACTCACACCGGCTTGTGCCCGCCCTCACAGTCGGCGATATTTGCGGAATACACCACGCCGCCGTTGACCCTGGCCATTGACCGAGCAACCCCATGTTCCTACCAGCTCCCTCCGCAGGAATGTGTTCCTTTTGGAAAGATGTGAACCTCATCGTGGCATGTTGAATTGTGTGTATGTTGAAAATGTTTCACCCTGTATTGTGGGAAGACAACAAACTAAGCACGAAGAAATGAGTTTTCAACGCAGATTTAAAAGTGCATAATATCGTAAGGAAGGGCAGCGTTCGACGGCCGCACTAAGTGTGTCTGAAAGCGCGCGGTGCAGTGACCGTCTTTGCTCGATGGTTGGCCAAAGGCCGCTGCTGCTAGAATGCCCAGAATTGACCCCGTTGGCACAAAGAGATGCTTGTTTGTGCACGAGTAAGATTTTACTTTGTCTTGTAGGTTGAATGAGTTTGACGCAACTTAACCGAAGCATTTTTTTCATAGAAACGTTAAATATATTTTAAAAAATAACTGAATGAAAATATAACTTGGGGAAAGCTAAAACTGAATGTGTGAAATGGCTTGCACAAAGTTGAATATTTAGACTTAAAACTTTCGTGACTGCAAGGATTCTTATTCTTGGTTCTTTCAGGAAAGTCACGTAGATAGAAAATAACAATTATTAAATAAAATTAAAAATTAAATAAAAGCAAAAACCCACGACGTTTCGATCGCAACACAAGCGGTCTTCATCAGGCGGAGAAAAAAAAAGACACTTTTTGAATATAATTATTATCTCATGAATTCCAAGAATTTAGATGCAATTTCTATATTATTGTAATGATTAGTGAATGATTGATTCTCATGCGCACCTTCTAATCAATGTATTATTTTGAGAGCAATCATTTTAAATGTATGTATGTTGAACTTTTTTCGCACCATATGTAAACAACCGTGATAATCGGAGGTGCGGGGGAAGGACAACACACTAAAGAGAAAAAGCAGTTCTAAAGAAATCAGTTTTCAATCTAAATCTAAAAGTGCATTGCTCCAGTGTCTTCCTAATATCGGAAAGAAGAGCGTTCCAGACGGCCGCAAAAGCGCATCTGACAGCGCGCGATGCAGCGACCGTCTTTGCACGATGGCCAGCCAAAAGCCTCTGCTTCGAGGATGACCCCGGTTTGCGTGATGGTTTATGCTCCTTGACGAGATCGCCATGGTACCGACATTACCCGTGACCGGGAGATGATGGATTGTTCCAAGCCTAGCAGCCGCCCTCCGACAAAAACAGGCGGTAGAGGGGGCGACGCTCGTAACATTTGGCTGAGCAAGGAAGTTGTGAAGCGCGGTAAAAAAATATTCAACGACGACGTCGTCATCGCAAAGCCGACTTGTGTCCGCATGACTCGGTAAAGCGCCTCCGATCATCACAGTTGGCTACGTACGGTGCGAAAGAAGTTCAGCATGACATACATACTGGTGTGTTTTTGTTCATCTCGCTGTATTTTGTCGTTGCAGCCACGAGCACATTGAGATCCTCACAGTGAACGGAGAGCTGCTCTTCTTCAAGCAGAGAGATGGGCCCCTCTTCCCAACCCTGCGGCTCCTACACAAATGTAAGCAATGGGGAGGGGGGGGGTGGAGGACAGGCTATTATTACGTGCACAGCGAGACCTTGGCTCAGCGGGTAGCGCGTTCGCCGTTTCGTTGCACAGGTTTGTGGTTCGAATCTGGCAGACAGCTTTTGGGGTTATTACCGCCGGTGTCGTTGAAGTTCCCGCGATGTCGTTTGAAAAAAAAAGCAAGCAGGAGGTCGTCGTGTGCCGACGTCGAACGGTACAAATTTGAAAAACGAACCGCAAATTGCTCAAATGGAGATCATGCGAATCAATATCGCCGCTGTGAAACTCCACCTTGTCTGTGAAACACACAGCAGTGCCTTCTTCCTGATAGCCTTGCGCTATAAGAACCCCTCGGGACGTAGCGGTCCCCAGGGGACCTCGTCCAGGCGGCCCTCAGGATGCAGACCACGAGGCCACCGTGGTGGTGGTGGCGGCTGTCGTGGCAGTGAAGATCTGCAGCCTCGGTCGTGCGTGGGCCACTTTAGCTGTGGCCTGCCCCCGGGGTCGTCTCCAATCCTTTGGTTGGGCCGCTGTAATTGCGTGCGTGCGGGGGCTTTGTAAAAAGTGTCCTCTTATTGTTATTCATTGTGCATGGGTGTGTGTGTATGGCCTCAAGGTGCACATGGCCTGGCATAAGCGTCGTGGTGACGAATGGCGTTTGTTGTTGTTGTTGTGTGTGGGGAGCGGTAGTATCGCGGTTACTGCACTGCGCTATGAACCCAGCAACCGGGGTTCGATTGCTACTCTATGGCCAACACCACTTACGATTATCTGAACCAGTCTTGGGCCTCCCCTAGGTTGACTTGGCCTCATATGAGTACCTGGTGCAGTGTGTAAATATCGCCACTAGGGAGACAAAGGCAGCCGGGCATGGTATTGGCCACCCACACCCTCGTGTACTGTGCCGGCCTTCATAGGTGCTCGCTAACAGCACTCGCCCCAACAGTCTTTCAAGGCTGTTTGTCTTTGTATGTATGTTGAACTTTTTTGTTGCACCACACGTAGCCAACCGTGCTAATCGTAGGTGTGGGGGAAGGACAACAGACTAAACACAAAAAGCAGTTCTAAAGAAATTCGTTTTTAATCTCGATTTAAAAGTGCATAGCTCAAGTGTGTTCCTAATCTTGAATCGAAGAGTGTTCCAGACGGCTGCCGAAGCGCATCTGAAAGCGCCCGATGCGGTGACCGTCTTTGTTCAATGGTTCGCCAAAAGCCGCCGCGGCGAGGATGACCGGAGTTTGCGTGATGGTTTATGCTCCTTGACGAGGTCAGCAATAGTATTTATTTACCAATTCGTAGTTTCGGCTGAGGTGGAGCGACGGGCGCGGTGGTTAGCACACTGCCCGCTAAAAACCCCACCCAACATCAGTCGTGAGTAATACACGAGCCCGTTCCTTGGACGAGCACGTACGTGTGACGAGCGCGTGGGCGGTGTGTGTGTTGTGCGTTTCCGCGACCCCCGGCTCCCACAGACCCGACCATCCTGCCACACCAGCAGGTGGATAAGGGCGCCATCCGGTTCGTGCTGAGCGGCGCCAACATCATGTGCCCGGGCCTGACGTCGCCGGGGGCCAAGCTCCGCTCCGCCGACAAGGAGACCATTGTTGTATCCTGAGCGCCGCAGAGAGCTTAGCACTGCGAACGTCGGCACCCCGAGTTTGACTCCCGGTCACGGCGAATGTCGGTGCCGAGCGAATGATGTCCGAGCCATTCCTGACAACCGTCACCTCCGCCGCCCCCCTCCCCCCATCGCTGTTATTAAGCTGCACTTACTAGTGTGGTGAAGTATGGTCAAACATCCCCCAATATGTAATGGGGAGGCCTTCATGGTGTAGTTGAGTGACAAATGGGGCTCAATGTGATGGAAGAAAAACATTAATAAAAACTTACCCAGCAGCAAACGCATTTTTCAACTGGCCTACCCCGTCACATATTCGGCAACTCGGTGATTTTCAACAACATCATCAGCCATGACCTATCCACTGCTGGATGAAGGCCTCCTCAAGGTGTTTCCACCTCTCATGGTCTTCTTGCGTTGCAGCATTCCATCTAGCACAGGCACACGGGTTGATTTGATTGCTCCCCATTTTCACCGCTAGAAGAAACTTGCAAAACTTAGCTGTGAAAATCTTAATTTGAAGCTTTCGGGACTGCAGGAATCCATACGCTTTGGTTCTTTCGGTAAAGTCACGTGAGTAGAAAAATAAAACAACAGAAATATATCACGACGTTTCGATCGCAACACAAGCGGTCGTCCTCGGGCGGAAAAAAAATTAATCCAGCAGTGGAATTGCTGAACCCTGTGAAAGCTTGAATGTGTGGTACCACGGCACCGTGTCTCCCTTGACTGCATCCCCTTGCAGGCCATCATGGCAGAAGGCAAGCAGCACGCGCTCAGCGTGGGCATCATGAAGATGTCTGCCGATGACATGTGAGTCGCTCCGTCATGGTCACAGACCACTCCCGCCAGATTAGCACATTTGGGAACGGCCAGTGAGTGGCGTAGCGCGGTTGGTGCAGTGGTGAGATGTTAACTCCCTCGCCTGGTATGCAGGTGGTCGTGGGTTCGATCCCGACCCTGTTGCCTGTATATTTTGAGTTTGTTTGGCTGCTATAAATTTCGACATGATAAGCCACTTCGTTGAGCTATCATTTGTGGCCAGTTCGCTTCTTATAAACAGCCACATAGCTTAACTTCAGTTCCTAGACCTTTGGGGGAAATTTACAATTGGAGGGAATTCCAAAGTCGAGCATTGCGAGGAACAGAGGGGAAAGGGAAGTTGTTGTGACCTGCAGTCTCAGTGGTTGAGCAGCGTGGATGAGACGTTAATGGTCAGCCTGGCAGATTGAGTCCCGAGCACGGGAGGAGGAATCAATGAATGCAGTTTAATACAACAGAAGCCATGGCGGTAGTGACAATGCAGTTATAAATGTGCGTTGAGTGCCGTTTCTCCAGTCTGTGGTCTCTCGTGAGTTGCCTGGCATGAAAATTTCCATAGCAACAGCTTCCGTGCGTAGTGGGTTTGGGTAAGAAAAAAAAACCTCGGCCACCATTTGCGGAGCCACCGTGAATTACCCACCGCTTACCGTGATTGGGGCGATTAAAGTTTAAGGCGATGTTAAAATAAAAACAGGAAGTGGCAAACCCAAAACTCGAGCACTTTGCGATTGTCGTGTACGAGAGTGGAAATTCGCGTGAAAATCCTGCACGTGTAAATGTTGTACTCTGTGCGGTGGCTTGAGCGATGTAAGCGTGGTCGTGGCGCAAGGAATGAAATGGGGCCCCCCATTTCGACTTCCCCCTCTGGACCACGGGAGAGAGAGCGGCCCTTGGGAAAACAGACACTGCGTGCGGGCTTGCAGGAGGCACGCCAAAACGCGATTGAGGCCGACGGTAACTCTCCTGTTTTGTCGTCCCGCAGCGTGAAAATCAACAAGGGGATCGGCATCGAGAACGTGCACTACTTGAACGACGGACTGTGGCACATGAAGACGTACAAATGAGAGAGCGTCGCGGCGCGAGTTCGGACGCCCCGGTGACGACGACCCTGGTGACCCCGGCCACGACCCCGGTGACCCCGGCGATGACCCCGGCGGAGTTGGCAGTCGTTAGCCAGCGGCGTTGCCAATGCCGTTAATTTTTAATTTGAAACTTTTTTTTGCTTTGCTGTCAAACGCGTCGATGCAAACGTCCCCAGGGTTTTCTGCGTTTCTTTGTGACGGGAATTTTTTAAACTGAATTGCGTGCGTTTTAGCGTCGTCGTCGTCATTATTTTTTTTGTTCGTTATAGTTTCATTATTTTAAAAGTGGACGTCCTCGCTCCGTTCTAAGTTTCGGTGGGCCCCGTTGGGATGAGCCGCTCGGGGCTCCGCGAGCGTTCCTTTGCGAGAGCTACAAAGTCGAAAGTTGACGACCATGAAGCCATTGGCTGGCTGCAACGACGGTGCGCACGCTTACGAATGCTGTCAGGTGTGAAGCGGCGTGGCTTTCTGAGCCAAATGCGCGCGCTCGGAAACCGATAGCGGGGACGTTTATTTTGCGAAACGCAAAGTTGAACCAGCCGCTTGTGCGAAACGCGGCGGCGTGCTGTGTTAAACGCACGGGTTCTCGTCTTTAATTGTGTACGTCGCAACGCTTGACCGAAACGCTGTGGCTCCGAGCTGTATTTATGACGTGTACACGCAACGGTCTTTTTTGTTGTTGTCGATCCGCTGCCGGACGGGGGCCCTCGCCACTCCGTGCAGGGTGCCCCTTGTGGGTTATTTTGACCGTACTTCACCGCGCCGGTCGGTACGGGAGGATGAAGGCGTGGAGAACAGGAGCGCAGAAGTACAGCACAACGGTTTTGCTGCACTGTCGTCTGCTGCCCGCCGTCACGTTGCGCCCCAAAGCCCTATGGCAACTCGTGTGTGCACGCGACTGTCCAGGCTCAAAGCTGCTTAGCTGCCTAGATCTGATGTCGGGGTGCACTTTGGGGGATTTAGTTATCGGCATGTTTATAATACTGTTATAATTCAGTATTTTTTTTTTTAAGAAATCTTCACTAATGAGTCTGAAGACGTTAAAAAAACAAGTTCAGCTTGAAATAATTGGTTCGTGCTTTAAATGGCTACGTGTGGGGGAACAACCATAAAACCTGGGGGGAAAACCCCAGCACGCGTAACGTGGAATTTACACGGCTGGGTCAAGGCGAGCATTGTGGTGGTGCTTACTTCTCGCTTGCAGCCTTGAGTCGGTCGGGGAAATTCCACATTTCTTTGTCAGGGGGCGAGTCCGTCCATAGGACGGCAACCACTGTAGACTTCCCCGCAAAGTTGTACTCGTTTTATCAATCCCGGAAGGATGACGGGCTGAGGCTACCGCCAAAAACGAGTTGCTCGCTCCACTGCCGAGCCATCTGGCTGGAGGTGCGTGACGTTGGCTAGGAGATGTCAACTACCTCGCCTGGTATGCAGGAGGTTCGTGGGTTTGATCCCAACTCTGACACCTGTATATTTGGAGTTTGCGTCTCTATATCATCATCATCACGGTGGCTAGGAGATGTTAACTACCTCGCCTGGTATGCAGGAGGTTCGTGGGTTTGATCCCAACTCTGACACCTGTATATTTGGAGTTTGCGTCTCTATATCATCATCATCATCACGGTGGCTAGGAGATGTTAACTACCTCGCCTGGTATGCAGGAGGTTCGTGGGTTTGATCCCAACTCTGACGCCTGCTGTGTATTTGGAGTTTGCGTCTCTCTCTCATCATCATCACGGTGGCTTGGAGATGTTAACTACCTCGCCTGGTATGCAGGAGGTTCGTGGGTTTGATCCCAACTCTGACACCTGCTGCTGTATATTTGGAGTTTGCGTGTCTCTCTCTCCCCCAGTGGTCGTGTGGATTTTCCTCCCCTCCAAATTTTGAATCGACATGCGTTTAGAGTATTTGGCTTCGATCAATTTCCACGTGATAATAAGCCGCTTTGTTGAGCTATCATTTGTGGCCAGGTCGCTTCTGAAAAAGAGCTGTGGAGCTCAGTGGGCCTTACCTGGTAAAATAAAAAAAAAATAGTTTAAATCGTGTAAACAGTTTTAAATAGGTGTTTCCCCATCGCTCGTTTCGATCCGGGGAAACTCTTTTGGTACGGGACGTACCGATCTCAATTCGTGTTTCTTAACTTCAGTTTCATCCGGACATAAGATTGTTGCCAAAGTTCTGTACCTGGAATGCGCACCCCATATTTGTCAGATCTTGGAAGCATGCATGCATCATTGAGCTTGGATGGGCGAGCGGACGTGACGCTGGTTATTACTGCTCTGCTACAAAGCAGCAGATGGCAGTGCGATACGATGTGTTGTCTTGTACTTCCATAACCCCTCCTCGCCTTCATCCACACGTGTCGGCAGGTGTGGTGCAGTTTGGTGAATTTACCTCCACGACCGGTACGGGGCGGTGAGGCCCCTCGTACAGTGCTGGAGTTGACGAGCGGGATACGCCGCGTTTAATAAAAATTCAAAAGAGCGGACGACAAAGAAAAGTACCCGTGTGGTTATTTTTTGTTTCTTGTTGTAATGCTTTATGTATTTTCGGATAAAGTAACAGCGAGAGCATTCTTCCACCGCCCACGTGACCGCCCGCGACGTACATCACAGCGGAAGGATCGACACGGCAACTATACATTCTTGCGAAAGTAAAACGAAAAATACAAATGAGAAGCGAAAACAAAAACGCAAGCGGCTGTCCCTTGCTCCTCGCGTGATGGTGGTGGTCAAGCGCTCCGTGCGCTTCGGGATAATATCTCAAACGCGCTTTCGTTTTTTTTAGCGTCGATACATCGGAGATGCGCGGTTTAAGGCGACGCGTTTGTCGTGCCCGCGCGCGTGACACCGGTGGCGCTTTCGAGTCGTTCCCGAGTGCCGATGTGCGGCGACGAGCGGAATGTGGAAAGGCTGCCACGGGAAAACGTGGCGCGAAACGTTGGACTCCGTCGCGAAGGGCGGCGCGGCCCGATAACGCAGCACAACGGCGAACACCAACGCAGCTGAACTACGCTACTTGATAAGCGCGTGCGATTGTCTTCCATTTGTTGATATTGAGGCACATTGCTCACACTTGTTTCAAGGCTGTGTGTTATGAACGGCATCTCGACTTAAAGCTTTCGTGACTGCAGGAATTCATATTCCTTGGGTCTTTCTTTCCTCCTGATGACGTTCGCTTGTGTTGTGATCGAAACGTCGTAGCTTTTTTTTGTTATTTTCTTTGAACCGACCCAAAGAATAATTAACATAATTTTATAGAATTTACCCAGGTAAGCCTCGGAGAGTCTGAAGACTCTCGTTGTTTTACTTTCGCGCACGCTTGGCCAGTCGCTGCGCGTTGCTTCTGGGAGGAAACCCGGGTGGCCGGGGGTGGACAACACAGGCGTGCAGTCATCCCACTTGCTGTACTGCCGCTCACGGACACCTCCCTGCGTGGAGAGTAACGTTATATACACCATTTTGCCCGTACCAATTACCCAACTGTGCATGATTTTCCTATGGGTTGATTTAACAGAATTATCAATCGCTTGCATTAAAATGTATGTATGTGTGTGTATTATACACGCACGCAGGGAGCGGTAGTGCCTTGGTTAACGCGCTGTGTTACGAACCCGGCGACCCGAGTTCGATTCCCGCTCACGGCCAACATCGGTGACGGATATTGGAAGTGGTCCTGGGACTCCACTAGGTCGACTCGGCCTCAAATGAGTACCTGCTGCGATGTGTAAACATCGCCGCTTGGGAGACTTATTATTATCAACCAGTAAGGAATTGCAATTCTGATACTGATGTTCAAGTAAGCCTGATGTGTACTTAAGAAAAATACATTACCGAATGTGATGCCCTACCCAGTTAATGACACAGATGCGTAGGTTATTAAAATTTTATTTAATTATGCATGCGTGTATTTACTCCTATATATAGATACGCATTTAATGTGTGTTAATATATATAAAACAAATATGGACACATCTGTACGCACGTATGAATGTATGCATGTAGGCGTGTAACGGCACGTGTATGCGTGCGTAACATAATTTTGCGCGCAGGCTAGGTTCTGGATGTAGCGCACGAAGCACAGCATCAGCAGAGCGAGCTACTTAAACGTACAGACTTAAACACGGCATAGAAAAATATAGAATTCAACGCAAGACACCGACATCGATGATTAGACCGATTTGGGGAAAAAAGGACATCTTTTTTTTCCGGGGGGACCAATCATCGCAAACTCTTAAGACAGTCTTACATTGCTCTCCCGTGACGGAACTGTTCGGAGCGCAACCTTGGGCCCGCGAAAATCCATTCCGCACAGCCCTCCAGCGTGCACCGATTTCTTCCGCTCGCGTGAAAACGAGGCCGTCGCACTGCACGAGCCTGATGATGGCTATACGTGCCCCCACGTGACGCGGGACGTGGTTTCGCAATCATCGGACCCGCGCGGCGTGTCAAGACGGTCTTCGTCCGCGAGCGGGAAGTAACATTTGGTGAACGTGAAGAATCCGTGCCTTGGAAGTTCCCGGCGTAAAACCCACGAACACGTCCACGAAACACCTCGACACGCGCACGTTCTGTCGAGGCAGACGCACCCGCTACGTAATACTGACGCGCGCGCACACACAACGAACGTGGCAGTGAAAAGCGTTCGGTAAACAATGAACACGCTACGAAGTCTCACACTGATATGTGCACCCATCTCCCCCCCCCCTCCTCCCCTCTCTCGAGGCATTGCGTGCCGTCAATTACCGCCGTGCTCACGTGGCCCGTCGCTTTCGGCACAACGCCACGTGCGATGCCCCAATGCCACCCTCTTGGCACCCCCCCCCCCCCCAACTAATGCGTCAACTCGGCGGTGTGCAGGCGGTGCGATTGCACTGGGCGTTAGGTGAGGAGGGAACGTGGGGGGGGGGGGAAGGGAAGAAGTTGTTTGACAAGCGGTGGAGCCCCACGCTGTACACTCTGCACAAGGGCACCTGCGAAAGCTCGCCTTGAACCTTGGAATTGGGGGGGGCTTGCGTGCGAAAGGGCGGGGGGGGGCAGGCCGTAGCGTTAGTGGCACACATCGCATTTGTCGGTGAAGTCGAGTGAAAAGGTGATCGATTCTGGAAGGAGTTGCGTGATCCGCAGATAACTCAAAAAAGCTCACGCTCGCGACACTGCGCTATTGTACACCGGGTTACTCCCCCCCCCCCCCCATCAGACCTTGCTGGAATTCCTACACCGATGTTGAAAAGAGTTCAGTCGCTGACGAACACTTTAAAAAATAATAGTGGTGACCCTCCCGAATCGAGAGCGTGTGCAAATCTCACAGTTCAGTTTCCAATAATTTCCTGGCAATTTTAAAACATTTGTAAAAAAATCGAGGTTCGTTGACATTTTTTTGTTTTTCACAGCAAACCGGGTGGCTCCACGTCGCGTCGACTCGATCAGAAGAAGGAAAAACAACAACAAAAACAACCCGCGAGTTGCGCGGCGAGAAAGTGGTCGTGCAAGTGGCCCGCTTTGTCACCGCACACGCGCGCGGGTCAGGAGGTCACGCGCGCGACGGTGAAACGCGACCGCTTCGAGTGGTGACTGCGCGCAAGTTGACAGCAGCCTCGGAATGGGCGAATCTCCGTGCCGAGTTGAATGGATTCACTAGTGGCGGTGCCTTCTACGGGAAGGGGCAGTTGTAGTTACAAAAAAATATATTTTTATTAAAGTGGCTGTAACCCTATATCAAGTGGCTACTGCTGTATTGTGTAATTGATTATCGTGACGCGTGCTCACTGAGGAATAGCAGTGCACTTGTGTGTGTATTCCTTATGATCTGCCGTACAAACTGGCTATAAAACATTTCATTAAACAAGCTCGTATAGGTGGATCTCGGTACAATACATCGATATCAGTTTGCGCAAATGCATCGGTTTCCCAAATCCATTCGCACTTTCCGCCCCCCGCCCGCTCCCTATCTCTCTCACGGTTGTGCTTAATTCCATGTTTAACTTTGTAACAAAAGTCCCATCGTCCGTGCGAGATTCTACCCGGTGAAGCTAACGAAATTACAAGTGCTTTTTTTTTATCTTTATTTGATATCCTCTGCCGCTGGCGATCCGCTCTTGCGAGCCCGCGGCCCTCGCCCGTATCTGCGCTGTCACGTAGCCAACATTAATACTGAGAGAGAAAGAAACACAATTTACAAAATACGCTTTTCGCGGGAAAGGTTAAAAACGGCAAACGTTTAAACAAACTGAACGGGACAAAAACAGCAACAACAACAACAGCGGTACCGGTTTCAAAACGTACTCGCGTGAACGTACGCAAATGGCGTTCCAAGAAACATTTTTTGGCAGCTAAGGCCCCCCTTTTTTTCGTCTATCCGAGTAAACATTCCACGTCTTCTGGGCTTCCGACGCAGTACACTTTAAGCTTGTGTCGCAGTTGCGGATCGGCATTTTTATTCGACTAGTTTATTTCATGGTCAAACCCATTTAAGGTCAATGATCTGCCTTTTGCGTTGCAAAAGATTTGATGCAATATAATAGTAGTTGGTAGGGGTCAATTTAAAACCCTTCGTCGAGCCACTGCCGCGTGAAGGCAGCGGCGTGCGTTCTGCCCCACGTGGAGGAGATCGGCACCAGATAATATCTGAGCCGGTCCCGTGTGGTGAAGTATGGTTACATCGTCCCCCGTGACCGACACGGCACGAGGAGGGCTCCATCCAGCGGTGGAGTGATGCTTGGGTTGTGAATATTTATCGTACAGTTTGATTTTAACGATTCGTATGCTTTTTTCGATTTAAAGCTTTCGTGACTGCAGGGATTCATCTTCTTGGTTCTTTTGGTAGTCACGTAGAAGGGAAATAATAAAATAATAAAAATGAAACATTAAATAATTCTCACGACGTTTCGGCCACAACGCAAGCAGCCGTCCTCAGGTGAAGAACAGGTCTGTCGGAAAGACAGCGTCATTCAGACAGCGTCATTCAGACGCCCAGAAGAAGTGGAATGTTTACATTCAGACGCTGTCTTTCCGACAGACCTGTTCTTCACCTGAGGACGGCGGCTTGCGTTGTGGTCGAAACGTCGTGAGAATTATTTAATGTTTTATTTTTATTATTTTATTATTTCCCTTCTACGTGACTTTACTGAAAGAACCAAGAAGATCCGTATGCAGCGTACGTTCAGGATTACCACTATTTAAAATTACATTTAGCAGAAAAAAATACTCTTGTAAAAGTAGAATTAAAATCTATGGACTAACGCTCGAACAGACATGAATTCGTACCGCACCATACACACACTTTTAAGTTGTATATATATATACACATGTATACTATCGTATATTTATATGAGACTGACCAACAGAGATATGTACTTTAATGCTGGTGATGAAAAAAAATCCCCGTACCTGTTTTAAACGGCATGTAAGGTCAAATGTCACAGCAACTCACGCCAACTCGCCTCGACATTTCTATCTATGTCTCTCTCCATCACGGCGGAGTAGCATCGTTACTGATGTCGAAGCAAAGTAAGACGCACGTGTCTGGCCACGCTCGGACTGGACAAACAACACAAACGACTTTTACGTGGTACTCAACACAGCCAATCGGGGGCGAGATTGCTCCTCGGGGGGGGGAGGGAGGGGGCGCGGAGGCAGAAGGGGCAATTTTCCCTGGGAACTCCACGAACCCACTGGAACCCACTTGGCTTGCATTAGTAGACCGCATCTACAACCCCCAGCCGTTGCAGTTCACGACTGGCACCCACGTTCAGTTTCTGTTTCTTTCTCCCCTTTTGAAATCGCGTTTCCTCTGCCACTGCGCCCTCGCTCGTCCGTTGGACAAGCCGACCATGAGCTTCTCTCGCTGCGGTTGCGTCATCGCTGGGGGTGGGTCACGCTCGTTGTCCGTGCCAGGGTCGGGGGGGGCCTCGTGCGCCAGGCTGCCGACACGTGGAGGGCGTCTTGCAGTTCGACGCTGCGGCGAGTGTCGAGGGGAGCTGGGCCCCCGGCGGTCGTATCTGCGCCGGGGAGGCAATGGCCGCCGTCGTCGTCGTCGAGGGAGGAGATGGCGATCGTTGCTTGGGCTTCGAATTCTGGCCAGAAGTCAACTCACACGATCGTCGTCGTCGTCATCTCTCCGGGGCAGAGAATAGATTGACTGTTTCTTTGACGGGGAGGGGGGGGGGGGTAGTCAATAAGTGGTTAGAGAGAGACTGGTCCGTGGCCCAATTACTGTGGAATTTCCACGAACGGCTCGAAAACGCCGACGGAGACAAACGCCGCCCGACCGCCGTCGATTGAGCGGCGAGGACCCGTCGACCGGTCGTCATCGTTCTTTCTGTTCGCGGCGAATCGCCGCTTGCGCCGTGCGTGCGCTCGAGATCATTGCGTTCAAGTGGAGCGCGGAGCAAGTGAGAGAGGGTCGTTGTTGGGGACTTTGCCCAACGGTCGCTGCGAGCGAGGGAAACGACTCTACGCGACTGAACGCTCGTCTCTCTCTCGCTCTCGAAGTCCGGCTGTCTTGAACACCCCGCTCGTCGTGCCGCCCCCCCCCCTCCTCCTCCACACGGTGACGAACCGATGACCGGGTTTCCATTGACGCCTCGACGGTGTTCATCTCCGCCCCGTTCCCCGGCCGCGGTGAGTCCGTCGGTTTGCCCTCGCCGATGGTCGCTCTCGCGGGCGCGGAATATTTCCGTTATCCTCCCGTCAGCGTCGGCGGCCGTATTTCTTTGACGTCCGTACCCGAGTTGGCCGAGTCTCAAAAGGTCAAGGGTTGCTAGGGTGGGCTCGCAGGGGTCGTGGGGTGGGCTCGCGGGGTCTCGCGGTCGCGAGGTCTCGCGGGGTCGCCTCAAAGGAAGCTGTCCTCCACCAGGCTGGAGGACATGTCCATCACCTCCATCATCTCCTCGTAGTCCTTGGTGATGGGGAGGAGGCGGTGTTGCGAGTCGTCGTTGAGGCTGTCCTCGCACAGCCCCGTGCTGCCGAGACACGCCGGGGGAGGGGGTGCGGCACAACGTCAACGCTGTAATCTATGCAGCTATTTCATGGGTCCTTTTTGCCAGCATCAAAGTATGAAAATTGCGAATGTGTTTTCCCCTTTCTGGCAATAAAACAGGAGGTGTTAAGATGTTCAAACACCAAATAGAAACCTCTTGCAGGGAATCAAGTTCGCATTAACCACACACACACAGTGCTTGTGCTGAACATGCAAACAAACCCAGACAATGCTCTGATAATATATGCATTGTCTGGGTAAAACTTATTCTTAACTGTAACACTTTTTTTGTTATTTTTACCTCCACATTTAGAGTCAACATCAACGCCGCTATACATTTCGACACGATGACCAAGCCACTTGATTGGGCCATCATCTGCGGTGGCCCAAACAAAAATCTGTCTGGAGCTCAGCGGGGGCCTTTACCTGATAAAATAAAAAAAAAAGCAGTCGATAGCATCACCATCCGCCCCACCACTCGCGCCCACCTTTGGCTGTTGTGCGAGTGTCCGTCGTCCATGCTGGGCGGCTCGATGTCGGGCAGCGGGATGATGTAGCCGCTGTCCGTGTCGGACCGCTGCTCCGAGAGCTCGTCGGAGGCATGCAGGCCGCCGACGCCGCCGCCGGCACCCCCCCCCTTGCCCGCGGGGCTGTAGGCGACGCCCACGTACGAGAGGTCGGAGGCCGCTCGCAGGCGGGCCACGGCCGGGTGGTGCAGGTGGAACTCCTCGCCCTGCTTCTCGTACGACTGGCGCGCGCGGGGAGACGGGGTGAGGTCGTCGTCAGCTTCGTGGTCTTCGTCCTCATCGTCGTCGTCATTGTCATTGTTACTCTCATCGTCACTGTCATCATTGCCGTCATCATCACTGTCATCGTTACCGTCATCGTCGTCGTCACTATCATCGTCAGCAACATCGTCGTCATCATCACTGTCATCGTCGTCATCATCAACTTCATTATCATCACAATCATCACTATCGTCAGCAACATCGTCGTCATCATCACTGTCATCGTCGTCATCATCAATTTCATTATCATCACAATCATCACTGTCATCGTCGTGATCATCGTGATCATTGTCATGGGTTCCATAATTGATTGTACGATGTGTTCAGATGCATTTGTAGTCGATGCTCTATTAAATCTGCGTTGTACTGTACTCAGCTATGTCACCTTTTGGAATCCGCCGGGCATGAGTTTGGCCATCATGTCGGAGAGGCGAGAGAACGTGGGGCGTTTCTCAGCGTCTGCGTTCCAGCATCGCACCATGAAGTCATATCTGTGCAGCACAACACACATCACCACCACCACCGCTGTCGTAATCAGCCGTGACCTATCCACCGCTGGATGAAAACCTTCCCTAAGCCGTCACCAAACCCTTAAGCCAGGGGGTGGGAAAAACCTGCAGCCTGTATGGGCCACACTCGCCCTGTGACTTCTTTCATGGTGCCACGGTGGCGTGCGTGTTCGTGTGTGCTCGTGCGTGCGCTTACATGTCAGGCGGCGCGTAGTCCGGCGAGTCCATGCGGTAGCCGGACTTGAGCTTGTTGTAGAACTGCGAGTCGACCGGCATCCCCGGGTACGGAGTCCCTCCTGGACGACGTGCGGCACAAACGCGCGGCGTGAGCCTCGCGGACACGCGAAGCGACGCCGTCGCTTACGGATCGATGGGTGCAGACGCGCGCGTGATGATGATATGGTGAAGGTCATGCTGCTGATGATGACAATCCCGATGCTACGGTCAGCGTGACGATGAGGAAAATGGTGATTCTGCGGATGCTTCTACTAATACTGCGAGTGATGATGATGAGTCGGACGATGGCATTGACACTGCCGCTGATGCTAATGCTGCCCGGTGATCATGATGATGACGACGATGATGCTGTACTCGCCTAGGGAGAAGATTTCCCACAGCAGGATTCCGTACGACCACACGTCGCTCTGAGTCGTGTACAGGTTGTCGAAGATGCTCTCCGGAGCCATCCACTTCACGGGGAGGAAAGTCTGAGAGAGACAGAGACACGGGGCGATGAGAGACAAAGACACGGGGCGATGAGAGACAGAGACACGGGGCGATGGGAGACAGAGACACGGGGCGATGGGAGACAGAGACACGGGGCGATGGGAGACAGATACACGGGGCGATTGGAGACAGAGACACGGGGCGATGAGAGACAGAGACACGGGGCGATGGGAGACAAGAGACACGGGGCGATTGGAGACAGAGACACGGGGCGATGAGAGACAGAGACACGGGGCGATGAGAGACAGAGACACGGGGCGATTGGAGACAGAGACACGGGGCGATGGGAGACAGAGACATGGGGCGATGAGAGACAGAGACACGGGGCGATGGGAGACAGAGACACGGGGCGATGGGAGACAGAGACACGGGGCGATGAGAGACAGAGACACGGGGCGATGGGAGACAGAGACACGGGGCGATGAGAGACAGAGACACGGGGCGATGGGAGACAGAGACACGGGGCGATGGGAGACAGAGACACGGGGCGATGGGAGACAGAGACACGGGGCGATGAGAGACAGAGACACGGGGCGATGGGAGACAGAGACACGGGGCGATGGGAGACAGAGACACGGGGCGATGGGAGACAGAGACACGGGGCGATGGGAGACAGAGACACGGGGTGATTGGGAGACAGAGACACGGGGCGATGGGAGACAGAGACACGGGGCGATGGGAGACAGAGACACGGGGCGATGGGAGACAGAGACACGGGGCGATGGGAGACAGAGACATGGGGCGATTGGAGACAGAGACACGGGGTGATGAGAGACAGAGACACGGGGCGATGGGAGACAGAGACACGGGGCGATGGGAGACAGAGACACGGGGCGATGGGAGACAGAGACACGGGCGATTGGAGACAGACACGGGCGATGGGAGACAGAGACACGGGGCGATTGGAGACAGAGACACGGGGCGATGGGAGACAGAGACACGGGGCGATGGGAGACAGAGACACGGGCGATGGGAGACAGAGACACGGGCGATGGGAGACAGAGACACGGGGCGATGGGAGACAGAGACACGGGGCGATGGGAGACAGAGACACGGGGCGATGGAGACAGAGACACGGGCGATGGGAGACAGAGACACGGGGCGATGGGAGACAGAGACACGGGCGATGGGAGACAGAGACACGGGGCGATGGGAGACAGAGACACGGGGCGATGGGAGACAGAGACACGGGGCGATGGGAGACAGAGACACGGGGCGATGGGAGACAGAGACACGGGGCGATGAGACAGAGACACGGGGCGATGGGAGACAGAGACACGGGGCGATGTGAGACAGAGACACGGGCGATGGGAGACAGAGACACGGGGCGATGGGAGACAGAGACACGGGGCGATGAGAGACAGAGACACGGGGCGATGGGAGACAGAGACACGGTGCGATGGGAGACAGAGACACGGGGCGATGGGAGACAGAGACACGGGGCGATGGGAGACAGAGACACGGGGCGATGAGAGACAGAGACACGGGGCGATGGGAGACAGAGACACGGGGCGATGGGAGACAGAGACACGGGGCGATGGGAGACAGAGACACGGGGCGATGGGAGACAGAGACACGGGGCGATGAGAGACAGAGACACGGGGCGATGGGAGGAGCCGCGGTTGTCGACTTGACGAGACACGGAACGACACGCTGGTTCCCAGCGCTCGCCAGGAGTAACTTCGTTTTTTCATTTTGTTCCACGTTATTGAGCACCGAATAGGACTCTCAAATAACCTTGGTGAGGCCACGCACTGGCACACACGCTGGCAAAGACAAAGATCCCCCCAGTGAGCGAGATGGGTCCACGTGTCTCCCCGGTGAGCGGGTGCTGCCGCTTACGCTGCCCTTGGACACGTAGTTGGAGTCGTGCATGATGTCCCTCGCGAGGCCGAAGTCGCAGATCTTGACGGTGCGACGGTCGGAGAGGAGGACGTTACGGGCCGCGAGGTCCCGGTGAACGCACTGTGGACACAAGACGCGGGACACTGTGGACACAAGACACTGTGGACACAAGACGCGGGACACTGTGGACACAAGACGCGGGACACTGTGGACACAAGACACTGTGGACACAAGACGCGGGACACTGTGGACACAAGACACTGTGGACACAAGACGCGGGACACTGTGGACACAAGACGCGGGACACTGTGGACACAAGACGCGGGACACTGTGGACACAAGACGCGGGACACTGTGGACACGACGCGGGACACTGTGGACACAAGACGCGGGACACTGTGGACACAAGACGCGGGACACTGTGGACACAAGACGCGGGACACGCGCACGGAGACACTGATCACTCGGCACCAGCGACGCGGGACGTGGCGGCGTGCCGGGCGGCGGTGGCCTGCATTTCAGCACGGTGGCGTTGATGAATCCCTTCCTGTGGGTATGGAAGGGCCATGCCCTGGCTCGCCAGGAGGAGGCCGTACAGCAAAAATGTGGATTCCTAACTGTTACGTCTGTATCGGGTTCCTCCCACGCGTAAAGCTCATTCATTGGCCGAAAAAACCTGAATATACAGAGAACTGCAGAGCTTGGGCAATTATTGACTGCTGCCTTCTCCTCCTGGCACCTCTACGCGGGCGAGGAGTGAACACCGATAGATAGGTGGCAAGGCGGAACTTGAATTTTTTTCCCAGGACGTTTGCGATGGCAGCGTCACCGTCGCTGCCATCGCTGCTCAGCTTACGTTCTTGGAGGCCAGGAACTCCATGCCCTTGGCGACTTGGTAGCTGAAGCTGATGAGGTCGTTGAGGTGGAGCGGAGCCAGTTCCTCGTCCACGAAATCGGGGAAGAAAACCTCGCGGTCTTTCTCTGCAGCGGCACGGGCGGCGGACACGCACAGCGACGTGATGCGACAAACGCCGGGACGGTCGGAACGGTGACGCACGACTCGTGAATGGTGATGCGTGCCACCAATAACATCACTCCCTCCGCCACCAATAGCATCACTCCCTCCTCCACCAATAACATCACTCCCTCCTCCACCAATAGCATCGCTCCCTCCTCCACCAATAGCATCGCTCCCTCCTCCACCAATAGCATCACTCCCTCCTCCACCAATAACATCACTCCCTCCTCCACCAATAGCATCGCTCCCTCCTCCACCAATAGCATCGCTCCCTCCTCCACCAATAGCATCACTCCCTCCTCCACCAATAACATCGCTCCCTCCTCCACCAATAGCATCACTCCCTCCTCCACCAATAGCATCGCTCCCTCCTCCACCAATAGCATCACTCCCTCCTCCACCAATAACATCGCTCCCTCCTCCACCAATAGCATCGCTCCCTCCTCCACCAATAGCATCACTCCCTCCTCCACCAATAACATCGCTCCCTCCTCCACCAATAACATCGCTCCCTCCTCCACCAATAACATCGCTCCCTCCTCCACCAATAGCATCACTCCCTCCTCCACCAATAACATCGCTCCCTCCTCCACCAATAGCATCGCTCCCTCCTCCACCAATAACATCGCTCCCTCCTCCACCAATAACATCACTCCCTCCTCCACCAATAGCATCGCTCCCTCCTCCACCAATAACATCGCTCCCTCCTCCACCAATAACATCACTCCCTCCTCCACCAATAACATCACTCCCTCCTCCACCAATAGCATCGCTCCCTCCTGCACCAATAACATCGCTCCCTCCTGGGCCACGTGAGCGCCCCCCCCCCCACGTACCATCCATGGTGAGGCGGCGGTGCGAGGGCGGGTGCGAGTAGTAGGAGTGTGGCTGCCCGCTCTCCGTCATGGGGACGTACTGGCCCATGTCCACCGTCTTCATGTCCATGTAGGCGCCCTCCTCCTCGAACGACAGCAGCACGTAGCTGCGGGGCGGCACGAGGGGACGGCCGCGTCAAGGGGGAAGGTGCCGAGCGTTTACTCGGAGCCCTACGGCGTCCCACCGCTTGATAGTAATTATGCAATAATGTCAATTCGTATTGCGCCTTCCACAGCAAGCAAATAGTTACAGCAAGCAAACAGCGGACGAGCGAGTGTGCGATTGGTCGAAGGAGTGAGCGGTTGAGCGAACGTGCGATTGGTCGAACGAGTGAACAGGTGAGCGAGCGTGCGATTGGTCGAGGGAGTGAGCGGGCGGGCGAGCGAGCGTGCAATTCGTCGAGCGAGCGAGTAGGTGAGCGAGCGTGCGGTTGGTCGAGAGCGTGACTGTGTGATTGGTCGAGCGAGTGGCTGAGTGAGCATGCGATTGGTCAAGCGAGTGGCTGAGTGAGCGTGCGATTGGGCGAGCGAGTGAGTGTGTGCTCACCTGCGCGTGTTCTCCCCACTGCTGTTGAGGCTGAAGATGTCTCCGTCGAACTTGTCCTTGCTGGCCGAGCCGTAGAGGAAGCGGTCGCGCTTGCGGTGGAGGTAGTTGACCAGGTCGCCGTGGCAACAGTACTCGGTGATGATGTAGATGGGCCCTGGCGTGACACGCAAACACCGCCTGGCGCTTAGGAACCTGTTGGGTTGGTTCCCACTCCACCGTTAGTCTTCACCACCGGCGAATTATAACCGATTCTCGTGGCACTCCAGCGGAGGCACGTATCGAGTATCGCGTGGTGATCGAGTCGGACGCGTCTTCGTGCGGCGCCCACCTCCTTTCGTGCAGGCCCCAAGGAGGTTGACAATGTTGAGGTGAGGTCCCAGGTGGCTCATGATCTTCAGCTCCGACATGAGCGCCTGCTTCTCGCTCGTGCGCGCCGTGGCTGTGAGCATGCAACAGCAGCAGCAGCAGCAGCACACACGCAGCAACAGTAGCAGCACAGACACATTAGCCGTTATCAAGCATGCGACACTGCCTCGGCACGAAGGTGTTTGTGGATCGCAAGCGGAGAGCAACACGGAGGGAGCGCCAGGATGAACGGCGCACGAGCAATCGCCAAGAGCGGAGCGGGAGCTCGGCCGAGTGTGTTCCGCGAGGCTCTGCGTGAATCGGAACGGTCCCACGCTTATTTCTCTCGTCATCATGCGTCCTACCTTGCCAGTATATTAAATTACAAGAATTGGTTTCACCCTTTCTGGCAATAAAACAGGAGGTGTTAAGATGTTAAAACACCAAACAGAAACCTTTTGCAAGGAATCGTGGCTGCGTTAAACCACACGTATTTGTTGGTGAACATGCAAACCAAAAACATGCTCTGGTAGTATATGATGATGCATTGTCTTTGAAACTGATTGGTCCACACCAGAGACAGCTTTCTTTAGAGCCTTGTCTCAAACAGTGTTAGACCAGAGGACGCCAAAAGGCTGATTTCTCTACTCGCCCAACTCAATGCTGCACTCTCGCTGTCAGATCAGTCGCTTCCTTGTCACTCCTTCACCACCGCTTCATCGTTCTCACGAATCTCACGCCCTGACGACGGCGACGCTGTTTTGGCGCCACGGTGGCGAGATGTTAACTACCTCGCCTGGTACACAAGAGGTCGTGGGCTCGATCGTGACTCTGACGCCTGCTGCTGTATATTTGGAGTTTGCGTCTTTCTCTCTCTCATCATCATCACGGTGGCTAGGAGATGTTAACTACCTCGCCTGGTATACAGGAGGTGGTGGGTTCGATCCCGACCCTGACGCCTGCTGCTGTGTATTTGGAGTTTGCGTGTCTCTCTCTCTCATCATCATCACGGTGGCTAGGAGATGTTAACTACCTCGCCTGGTGTACAGGAGGTGGTGGGTTCGATACCGACCCTGACACCTGCTGCTGTATATTTGGAGTTTGCGTGTCTCTCTCTCTCATCATCATCACGGTGGCTAGGAGATGTTAACTACATCGCCTGGTGTACAGGAGGTGGTGGGTTCGATCCCGACCCTGACGCCTGCTGCTGTATATTTGGAGTTTGCGTGTCTCTCTCTCTCTCCCCGTGGTCGCATGGATTTTTCTCCCGGTCTTCCGGTTTTCCCCTCCACATTTAGAATAAACGTGAGAATCGAGCATTTGTTTGCAATACGTGATGATAAGCCACTCCGCTGAGTTATTGTTTGTGGCCAGGTCACTTCTGAAAAAAGAGCTATATGGCTCAGTGGGCCCTAATCTGGTAAAATATAGAAATATATTCTTAATAGTTTCTGACGATGATGGAATTGGCAGTGAAGAGAATGATGGTGATGAAGATGTGTCGATGATGACGACAATGACGACGGTGATGATGGTGACGATGTATCGATGACGACGACGGCGACGACGGCGGTGGTACGTACGTTTCAGCATCTTGACCGCCACCTTCATGTAGGTCTGCGAGTGGCTCATCCCGCGAGCCGTGGCCTCCACCACCTTCCCAAACGCCCCCGAGCCCAGGATCCGGCCTGGTCACGGGGATAGGGGGGACACAGTCAGCGCATGGCACCACCGTCAGCCTACTCAGCAGCGTTAGAGAGCGCCTAGCGTGGCTGTAGCGGACGCGAGGCAGCGGTGGCGGCACCATCGCCACGTGCGACCGCCCGAGTCGTTCGCAGCCTCGGCGTTTACACGTCGGGGCGACCCCGGTGCTCGACTTTTAGGGGCCGAGTCGGTCTAGAGGAGGAGGGCCCAGGCTCAGTCGGCCGTGGCCGCTCGCCCACGCGGAGTGCCAGCTGGAATGCGTGCCGGTTAGTGGCCATGGCGCGGTTAGTGGCCATGGCGCGGTTAGTGGCCATGGTGCGGTTAGTGGCCATGGCGCGGTTAGTGGCCATGGCGCGGTTAGTGGCCATGGCGCGGTTAGTGGCCATGGCGCGGTTAGTGGCCATGGCGCGGTTAGTGGCCACGGCATGCGCACCGCTACGCCGTCGCTGGCTCACCGAGCTGGAGGGAGTCGCGCGAGAGCTCCCAGCGGGAGTCGTAGGGGAGCTGCGTGGGGTCCACGTAGACGTACTCGTGTCCGTCGGGGCTGATGGACTCGATCACCTTCCAGCGCACCTCGTAGCGCGGCTTCTGCAAGCCAGCAAGGCCCCACCAATCGTCGGCGTCAGCGTCATCATCATCATCATCGTCGTCATCATCAACATCATCATTAACACCATCACCATTACCAGCAGCTTCATTTACATCGTTGTAAGCGCCATCATCATCAGCTTCATCTTCATCTTCAGCTTCATTATCGTAAATATTATAATCATCATCAACATCGCCATCATTAACGCCATCATCATCAGCTTCATCTTCAGCTTCATTATCATCATTATCGTAAATATTATAATCATCATCAACATCGCCATCACTAACGCCATCATCGGCAGCTTCATCATCACCACCGCACCTCGGATGAGCACGGTTGGCCATGTACCGAGCGAACGAATCTCAACATACGCACGTCCATACACCAGCTAAACCATCGCGAGAGTACGTGCGCGCGTGTCCGCAAGACAGCGGCGGCGTTGTGCGTCGTTGGCGAGGAGGGGACGACGCTCACCTGCTTCCAGACGACGACGAGCACGATGAGAGAGACGATGACGACCACCAGCAGCACCAAGATGGCCGCCATCACCTTGAGCTTGGAGTGAGAGTCTGCCAAAGGGTAAAGAGAGGCGACATTTTGTAATCGCGGTCGCGTCCACGCAGCGCTTAAAACGCTGCGGTCTTAAAGCACGGGAGGCCGCCACGGTGGCTAGGAGATGTTGACTACCTCGCCTGGTGTACAGGAGGTCGCGGGTTCCACCATCATCACCACGGTGGCTAGGAGATGTTAACAACCTCGCCTGGTGTGCAGGAGGTCGTGGGTTCGATCGTGACCCTGACGCCTGCTGCTGTGTATTTGGGACTTTCGTGACTGCAAGGATACATACTCTTAGTTTTTTCGGTAAAGCCACGTAGGTAAAAAAATGAAATCAAAATTAATAAAAATAAAATAATAAAAATATTTTCATTTCATTTTTTACCGACGTGACTTTACCGAAAAAACTAAGAGTATGTATATTTGGGAGTTTGCGTGTCTGTCTCTCCCCGTGGTCGGGGGTGGCGTGGGGAGCTCACCGTTCTTGACGAGCTTGACGACCTGCGCGGCGCTGTGCAGGGGCTCCGCGTCGTCCTCGTCGTCGTCGTCGTCGTCATCGTCGCCGCCGTGCCGCAGGCTGCCGCTGGCGCGCGTGAACGCGTTGGTGGCGTCGCAGCGCACGGCCGTGGAGCGGTCCAGGCGCGGGAACGTGAGCGTGCTGGACACGCGCGCCCTGCGGAACTCCGCGGCCGGGCCCGGCCCGTCGGACGGCGACGACGACGACGAGGTGAGACTCCCAACGATGGCGTGGGTCTCCACCTCCGTGCCGCCGCCGCCGCCGGCGCCGCCGTTGCCGGTGGTGCCGCCGGTGCTGTTGAGCAGCTGCCAGGCCCAGCGCTCGTTACAGCTGAGATGGGAGGGCGGAAGATGGAGACGGGGAGACAGAGACGGAGAGACAGAGGGAGAGACAGAGAGGTAGGTGGAGAGTGAGACAGAGACGGAGGGAGAAACAGAGAGATGGAGAGACAGAGACTGAGGTCAAGTTGGGTCAGGGTCGCCACCTTCGAACTGAACAAAATTTGTACCGAGATCATGAACAACGGTGCGCACTTCCGAGTCGTCATCAGCCATCATTAATCCACTGCTGGATGAAGGGTTAGGAGGCTCCTGTGAGATAAGTGCGCCCGACATTGGCAGATCTCGGAAGCCAAGCAGGTTTCGTGCCCGCACAGCGCTCCAATGGGTGACCACCGTGCACAACAGGCGTTACAGGTCTTTGGTTCTTTCGGTAAAGAGAAAATAATACATTAAATACTAGCATACGACGTTTTGAGTCGGATAACATAACAGTGTTGACTGTTATGTTATCCGACTCTCTGTTGTATTACATTACATTTCTAAGTATACTAGATTTGTGTTTCTATTTCATTTATACCTGATGACGATTGCTTGTGTTGCAATCGAAACGTCGTATGCTAGTATTTAATGTATTATTTTCTCTTTATACGTGACTTTACCGAAAGAACCAAAGAGTCATTCCTGCAGTCACGGAAGCTCCAAATTAAGTACAGGCTCCTGTGCTGCAGTAGAGACCCTCGTCCGGCAGCGGACAGAACGCGCCCGCGTAGACGTTCACCTCCTGAGGTCGGAGCAGGTGTACCACGTGATCTCGGGCACGGGCAGACCCTCGGCGACGCAGGTCACCACGTGGGTCTCCGTGTCGTTCACTCCGTGGGCGTCCGACAGCTCCTTGATCGTCGCGGGGACTGCGCGCGGCAGAACGCACGGAGACATCCATCCAGCAGCGGAGTGAACGAGCGCCGGACCGCAGCCGCGTAGCACTCGTCGTGTTGCTTCACGTTAAATAATGGTGCCGGTTGTGACCAGGCGAGGCCTGGTCACAATCGGGGGGGGGGGGGGGGGGGCCTTCTCGGGCCCTTTAAAAGGCTCTCTCAGATCTTATTAGGCCCGGCTTAGGTTAGGCTGCCCCCTGTCCCCCCCCACGTCCCCCCCCCACGTCCCCCCCCCCACGTCCCCCCCACGTCCCACCCCATGTCCCCCCCCCACGCTCCCCCCCCCCCACGTCCCTCCCCGCCCCACGTACCCCCCCACACCCCCCCCGCGTCCCCCCCCTCCCCCCCCCACGCCGCCCCCCCACGCCCCCCCCACGCTCCCCTCCCCCCCCACGCCCCCCCCACGCTCCCCTCCCTCCCACGTCCCCCCCCCACACACCCCCCCCAAGCTCCCCCCCACGCCCCCCCGTCGCCACGGCGAGCGGGTGTGCGCCTCACCGAACACGTAGAGGCTGAAGCTGTGGTTGGCCGCGTCGTGGGCGTTCCCCACGCTCAGCGTGTACTCGCCGCTGTCCTCCTCCTTGGTGCGCACCAGCGTGAGCACGCTCTCGTACCTGGCGCGCGGGGAGAGCCCGAGTCACACCCCACGTCACACCCCGCGTCATACCCTGGCAGGGTCACACCCCGTGTCACACCCCGTGTCACACCCGGGGTCACACCCCGCGTCACACCCCACGTCACAGCCCGCGTCATACCCTGGGTCACACCTGGGCCACACCTGGGTCACACCCGCGTCACACCTGGGGTCACACCCTGCGTCACACCCCGGGTCACACCTGGGGTCACACCTGGGTCACACCTGGGGTCACACCTGGGTCACACCCCGCGTCACACCCCGGGTCACACCTGGGGTCACACCTGGGTCACATCCCACGTCACACCTGGGTCACACCTGGGGTCACACCTGGGTCATACCCTGGAGCCGCCTCGGCGCTAAGCAGACTTCACTTTTGTCAAAAAACCATTCCAAGCCGAACGTTCATCGGATCACAAACGGCGGTCCCCCAACCGTTTTCCGCGAGCCGCGCCGAGGGGCCCCTTTTGCCACCGCGCCTCGCCGTGAATCGCGACCCTCACCGGCCGCGCTTGAGGTCGTGCACGTCGAGCGTGACGTCGGCCTCCCCCAGGCCCCCGTACAGGCGCCGCCCGTCCTTGTACCAGGCGGCCGCTGGCGCCGGGAACGCCTCCACGGCCACGGCGAAGCGGCGCACCTCGCCCGCGCGCGCCCGCTCCACGCGCGCCACCAGCGTGTGCAGGCGCACGTAGCCACGCTCTGCCAGCGCACGAGCACGCGCACACACGCACGCAGGACGCGGGTGAGCGCGACGCTACCGAGCCGGCGAGTCGGGTTCGATTCCCGCTCACGGACAACGCCACGGTGGCGATTATCTGAACGGGTCCTGGGCCTCGCCTAGGTCGACTCAGCCTTAAATGGGGACCTGGTGTGGTGCGGGAAAACATTGTCACCGGGGAGACGAAGGCGGTCGGGCGTGGCACTGGTCACCAACAGCCTCGATAGTTTGTTAAGGTTATACGAGGGATCTTTGTCTGTGTGCGTGGGTGGGTTAGTGTGAAGGTGTGTGCAGGTGTGTGTGCAGGTGGGTGAGTGTGGGTGGGTGCGGGTGGGTGAGTGAGTGAGTGTGGGTGGGTGAGTGTGGGTGAGTGAGTGTGCGTGAGGGAGTGTCGGTGGGTGAGTGAGTGAGTGAGTGTGAGTGAGTGTGGGTGTGTGCGACTGGGTGAGTGAGTGTGGGTGAGTGAGTGTGCGTGAGTGAGTGAGTGAGTGTGGGTGGGTGAGTGAGTGAGTGAGGGTGAGTGTGGGTGAGTGAGTGAGTGTGCGTGAGTGAGTGTGGGTGGGTGAGTGAGTGAGTGTGAGTGAGTGTGGGTGAGTGCGAGTGGGTGTGTGTGTGTGGGTGGGTGAGTGAGTGAGTGTGGGTGAGTGAGTGTGCGTGGGTGAGTGAGTGCGGGTGGGTGAGTGAGTGAGTGAGTGCGTGTGAGTGCGGGTGGGTGAGTGAGTGAGTGAGTGAGTGTGGGTGAGTGAGTGAGTGTGAGTGAGTGAGTGCGGGTGGGTGAGTGAGTGTGGGTGAGTGAGTGAGTGTGAGTGAGTGAGTGAGTGTGTGTGGGTGGGTGAGTGAGTGAGTGTGGGTGAGTGAGTTGTGCGTGAGTGAGTGAGTGTGCGTGGGTGAGTGAGTGCGAGTGGGTGGGTGAGTGTGAGTGGGTGGGTGAGTGAGTGAGTGTGGGTGAGTGAGTGTGCGTGTGTGAGTGAGTGTGGGTGAGTGTGGGTGGTTGAGTGAGTGAGTGTGGGTGAGTGCGAGTGGGTGAGTGAGTGTGGGTGAGTGAGTGAGTGTGGGTGAGTGAGTGTGGGTGAGTGCGTGTGAGTGTGAGTGAGTGTGGGTGAGTGAGTGTGTGTGAGTGCGCGTGTGTGGGTGAGTGAGTGTGGGTGAGTGAGTGAGTGTGAGTGAGTGTGTGTGGGTGAGTGAGTGAATGAGTGTGCGTGTGAGCGCAGCGCACCCAGCACGTCGATGTGCAGCTTCTCCTCGCTGCTCGTGCCCTGCGAGTTCTCCACGGAGCAGCGGAAGGAGCCTGACTGTGCGCTCGTCACCGCCGTGAAGGTGAGCGTGCTCGCGATCTCCGTCTCGCCGTCGGCACGAACGCCGTCGCTCACCAGAGTCTGGGGCGCGCTCACGTTCGGCCACTGCTCGCCGCCACGACCACCACCACCACGTGACAACAACAACAACAACGACAACCACACAACAACAAACATGAGTCAGGGTCGTGGCATTTGAGTGATGTTTCACCGCATGCGCATCTGCGGCCGTCTGGAAAGCTCCTCCTTCCGATCGAGCGATGCGCTTTTAAATCATCATCTAGATTTACAAACTCATTTCTTGCGAACTGCTCTTTGTGTTTCGTTTCTTGTCCTTTCCCCCATACCTCTGATTTACACGGTTGGCCACACTAGGCGCAAACGAAGTTCAACATCACGACACGTGCACATGTACAGGCATTGTCGATCCGCTGCTGGATGACGGACTCTTCCACGATTCGGCCGCCACCCCGCGAGGTAGCGCGATGTGAACTAAACTTAAACAAACGTCGTTGTTTATGTCACCAGGTAAGGCTCCCACTGAGCCATATAGCACTTTGTCGGAAGCGGCCTGGCCACTGCGATAGCTCAACGAAGGGCCTCATCGTCGCGTGGACATTTATAGCGGCCAAATACTCTGAACGCAATAATCCACCCGGCGACAGCTTTATGTTAATAACAACTTCCTATTTTCTCACTCATTGGTATCCTAAACAAATTTAATGATAGTCGTCATGATAATAATAATAATTGGATAGTAATAGTATAATTTTTCATCTGGAAGGCGCATTTCATCCGTAGATCCCGATGTGCCGGAGATGCCGTGGAAACTAGCAGCCCGCACATCCTTGGGACGTGACCTTCCATCCGTCTGTCTGTCGCTCCAGCCAGCCAGCCAGCCAGCCAAACTTTCTAAAGTAATATGTTGAACTTACTCTTTGGTTTTTTCGGTAAAGTCACGTAGGTTAAAAAAGAAAACAAGTAAATTAAATCACGACGTTTCGGAGGCAACACAAGCTTCCGTCTTCAGGTCAAACCGTCACAGCAAAATTGCTGCATCAAGAACCAAAGAGTATGAATACTTGCAGTCACGAAAGCTTCAAATCTAGAATTAATATGTTGAGCTTCTTTCGCACCCGATTTAGCCAACCGCGCTGATCGTTCGGCTTACGTACGGTGGGTACGACCATCACGTACACAGGCGACGCGGCGTTTTTTTTTGCCCCACCGCGCCATAAACCCGGCCACCCGAGTTCGATTCCCGGCCGCGGCTAACGCCGGTGTCCCTGTGACGCTGCCACGCGGTCTGGGCCCCTTCCCTCCACGCGTGGAGCGTTTCCTCGATTGTGTTTTCACAAAACAACGAGCGGGCCTCTAGATGATGCACCCCGCGTCGCTGCACCCCCCCCGTCCTCCGGCGGAGCTCGATATGAATTGCGTAAAACAAATAAGCGGCCGATACAGAGGCGGAATTATGAGCGAGACGATTACATTTAATTGCCGCGTAAATCACGAGAGGGGCACCAGCGCAACAAACAAATTCTACATAAACGCAGCGATTATAAATAATCGCTGCGCGTGCTTACACTGTACGTGCACAAAGACAAAGGTCCCCCGTACAGCCTCAACAGACCGTTGGGGCAAGTGCTGTTAGCTAGTAGCGCCCATGGAGGACGTCACTGTGGCACACGTGGGGGTGGGTGACCAGCACCACGCCCGGCCGCCTTTGTCTCCCCGGTGGCGATGTTTACACACCGCACCGGGTACTCATTTGAGGCTGAGTCGACCTAGGGGAGGCCCAGGACCGGTTCAGACAACCGTCACTGTGGTGTTGTAACGCATGTATACGCATCCACCGCCGGATGGAGGGCCCCCCCCCCGCCCGTGCCGTTACCGGTCATCGGGCCCGTTTGACCATACTTCACCACGCTGGTTCGTGTGCGTGTCGGTGAAGGGCGGGGGGGAGATTACCGCCGGTTCCAATCCCACAGCTCCCACCGTTGACAAACATTCGAGTTAATGTCCGCGTGAGGTCGTGCGCGCCTTCGAACGGTGAACACGGAACGCCGCTGGGCCAACGTTCGTTCCGCGTTCAGCCCACAAACGTTGACCCAACGTTGACGCTAACATTGGTTCAACGTCGAGAGCCCCCGACGTCCGTCCAAGGTTTGCCGCGTGTGCGAGCGGCTGCTCACGTGTTTTCCGGGGTACTCCCAGTCGAAGTTGACGATGCCGTTGCCGCGCACGGAGCACGTGATGTTGAAGGAGTCTCCGCTCATCACCTTCACGCTCGACGCCTCCAGCGTCGGGTTCAGTCGCGACACTGGCGGGACACGGGGACAGACGCACGCACAGACGCACGCACAGACGCACAGATGCATGGACGGACAGACGCACGGACGCACGCACGGGCAAACGGACGGACAGACGCACGGACGCACGCACGGACAGACGCACGGACAGACACATGGACAGACGCACGGACAGACACACGGACGCACGCACGGACAGACGCACGGACGCACGAACTTGAGAACATCGCACAGAGACTCGCGTAGGCCTGAGCCTTAGACAAGAGGAACCCCGTGTTGGGGTTCATTTTGCCGCTGTAAATTTCCACATGATAAGCCACGTAAGTCAATAACCTAGTGGGCGATTCGTTTACCTTTCTTAGACTTTGCACTACTGTCCTGTTTTCGTACTGTTTGTTGTTGTAACGTCCTTACCCGCCCGGAACTGGACATCTGTGAAAAAGAGCTTCATAGCTTATCGGATTCCTCCAGGATAAATATTCTGATTCTGATAAACCATCGCACAAACTCCGGCCATCCTCGCAGTAGCGGCGTCGTTTGGCGAACCGTCGAACGAAGCCGGTGGTCACCGCATCACCGCGCGGCGCTTTCAGACGCGCTTCCGCGGCCGTCTGGAACGCTCTTCCCTTCCGACATTAGGAAGCCACCGGAGCTGTGCACTTTTAAATTTTGATTGAAAACTAATATTTTTGGAACTGCTGTCTGTGTGTCGTTTGTTGTCCTTCCCCGGCACCTCCGAATCGGCACGGTTGGCTACGTACGGCGCGAAAGAAGTTCAACACGCGCGCGCACACGGCCCGTGCGTGTGTGTGTGCCACTCCTCCTGCCTGGACACGCGTTTGATGGGGCGGTGCGTGCGGGGGGAGGCACATCACGCCCGGCCACTCCCCAGTGGCGATGCTTCAGCGCACAGCGCGCCAGCCACTCGGTCAATCAAGGCCGAGACGACCTAGGGGGGATGCCCACGACCGATTACCGTCACTGGTGTGTGGCGGTGGCCGTGAGTGGGAATCGAACTCGGGTTGCCACCGGGTTCGTAGCCCCCCCCCTCCGCCCGCCCTCCACAAAGACAAAGATCCCCCGCGTAGCCTTAACAGACTGTTGGGGCAAGTGCTGTTGGCGAGTAGCACCTGTGAAGTCGGCGGTTGCGGCCTCCCTGCTTGCTGACGTCCACTCGCCGCTCGTTCAGGGCTTAGTCGACTTAGGTGAATGCTGAGACCCAAATCAAGGAGACAGAGGGATGGATGCGCTCCCCTTGGGGTTGATGCTGAAGGGACGCCGCTCCCTGCCCCCCCCCTCCCAACTCACCGGGGATCTCGATGACGTTGTACTCGGGCGTCATCTCGGAGCGCTCCCCCAGCGTGGCGTGGCACCGGTAGTTGCCGCCCTTGAGGTGTGCGCTGACTCCGCGCAGGGGCAGGTAGGTGGCGGGCAGGGCCACGGCGGGCCGCTCGGCCGCCACCAGCGTCACGCGGGTCAGCGGGTCGCCCGCCACGCAGGGGATCAGCGCCTCCTCGCCCTCGTTCACGGGGATCACGTGGTCGTAGCCCGACACCGGCGCGAACAGGTGCTCCGGGTCTGCGCGGGGCGGCACGCGCGCACGGACGCACGGAGCGTTACGAAGAGGTGCTTCGGGGGGGGGGGGGGTCTGCGCGACGCGGGGACGTGGAGCGCGTCGAAGCGCGGCGGTTTCTCGCGGTCCTCGTTGTCGTCATCATAATCATCGTCGTCGTCGTCGCCGTCATCGTTGTCATCATCATCGTCGCCGTCATCGTCGTCATCATCATCGTCGCCGTCATCGTCGTTGTTGTCATCATCTTTGTCGTCATCATCTTTGTCGTCATCATCGTCGTCATTGTCGTCATCATCTTTGTCATTGTCGTCATCATCGTCGTCATTGTCGTCATCGTCGTTATCGTCATTGCCGTCATGGTGGTCATCGTCGTGGTCGTCGTCACGGTCAATCCACTGCTGGATGAAGGCCTCCGACTCAAGCCGCCGCCAGCTCTCACGGCCCTGCAGCGTAACAATCCCTCCGGCCTTTTCCACCGCTCCGTCTCTCAGGCGCTCGCCCTGTGCGTTCCACCGCTTGGCCCGCTGCCGTTTTCCCGAGAGCGGGGTCGCCGTCATTAACGCCGCGTGGTCCTCTCTCTCTCTGTCTAAGGCGGTCTTCTTGATCGCGAGGCCCAGGGGCCAATAGCGGCCCCTCGTGGCCTTTAGCGTGCACCTGATGTGTGCCGCCCCTCCCATCAATGCACAAATGTGACACACCCCATCGTGCTGTCAAACCCCATTTGATTCAAACTGAACTCATTTCTATTTTACCAGGCAAGGCCCACAGCGGAAGTCAGGGTCGGGATCGAGCCCACGACCTCCTGCGTGCCGGGAGAGGCAGTTAGCATCTCCTCGCCACCGTGATGATGATGATGAGAGAGAAACGCAAACTCCAAATATACAGCAGCAGGCGTCAGGGTCGAGATCGGACCCACGACCTCCTGTACACCAGGCGAGGTAGTTAACATTTCCTCGCCACCGTGGCGGCCCTCACACTGATCACGTCTCATCGGCCCAACTGAAAATGAGTAAACACGAGATCGCACACGAAGACAAAAATCCCCCGTGTAGCCTTAACAGACTGTCGGGACAAGTGCTGTGAGCGAGCACCTATGAAGGCGGGAACGGTACACGAGGGGGTGGGTGGCCAGCACCACGCCCGACCGCCTTTGTCTCCCCAGTGGCGATGTTTACACACCGCACCGGGTACTCATTTGAGGCTGAGTCGACCTAGTGGAGGCCCAGGACCGGTTCAGATAATCGTCACTGTGGTGTTGGCCGTGAGCAGGAATCGAACCCGGGTGGCCAGGTTCATAGCGCAGCGTGGCACTAACCGCTGCACCACCGCTCCCCACGCACACACAGACGCACACACAGACACACGCACAGACACATGCACACAGACACACGCCCACAGACACACGCACACAGACACACGCACCTCGCACGTAGATCTGCAGCGAGGAGGCCCCGTTGAGCTCGTCCTCCTCCTTGCCGTGGCCGTAGTCCTCCTCGTCCCCCAGCGCCGCGTCGTCGTCGCCGTGGCCGCCCTCATCGCCGTAGTCGCCCTCGTCGCTGAACACGCACACGTAGATCCCCGCGTGCTCGATCGACGCGCTCTCGATCACCAGCGTGCTCACGTGCGTCGACGACGAGGACGACGACGAGGTGGAGGAGAAGGTGGAGGAGGAGGCGCCCTCGCCGTCGCCGCGCGAGTCCACCACGGCCACGTGCGCCGCCGCCGGGTGCCGCCAGGTGAGGCGCGTCTCGCCGGAGCAGCGCAGCTCGAAGCGCTCGCCCGGCACCAGCAGCGCGTGCGACGCGGCGTGGTGCAGCTCCGGGTAGGGGGACAGCGCGGGGGGGTCCCCCATGCCGAACACTGCCGGGGGGGGGGGGGGGGGTGGTGGGGGTGGGGGGGCGGTGGGGGGTAGTGGAGGGGAGGGGCAGTGGGGGGAGGGGTAGCAGAGGGAGGGGTAGCAGGGGGGGAGGGGTAGTGGGGGGGTAGTGGGGGGAGGGGTAGTGGGGGGGAGGGGTAGCGGGGGGAGGGTAGTTGAGGGGAGGGGCAGTTGAGGAGAGGGGTAGCGGGGGGGAGGGGTAGTGGGGGGGAGGGGTAGTGGGGGGGAGGGGTAGTGGGGGGGAGGGGTAGCGGGGGGGGGTAGCGGGGAGGAGTGGTAGAGGGGGGGAGGGGTAGTGGGGGGGATTTTCATTGTTATTTTATTATTTATTATTTTATTCTTATTTTCACCTACGTGACTTTACCGAAAGAGCCAAAGGGGTACACCTCCAAACTCTTCACGACGTCGCTCAGTCGGGAGATCCGCGTTGTTAACCCCCCCCGCCCCCCTGGACTCTTACAACTTCGATCACAAACAAGTGCTGTTTGTTGCTAGCAACCAGAAAGCGTGGCCCATTGCTCGGCAACTTCGTTAAAACAAATGAATAAAAACCACCCCCCCCCCCAACTCAATCCCCGCGACAACTCACCCGTGTGTTCACCGTGGGCTGCCCTGATGAGGCCAAAGATGAACATTGGGGCCCATGCGACCGCCATGGCCATCGAGACGGCCTCCTCTGCCTGTAGGGAGACAAACGCCAAGACGCGCACAGCACCACCACCACCGTCATTGTGGCCATCGGGGAGGAGACACATGCATCGATTCGTACCAGTTGAGCGCGTGTCAGGCTGATTTAAACTCAACTCAGTTGTTTTTTTATTGAAACGATTTGATTTTTTAGCAGGTAAGGCCCCACTGAGATCTGTGGTTGTGTTTTCAGAAGCGACGTGGCCACATGTGACAGCTCAACGAAGTGGCTCATCACGTGGAAATTACAGCAGCCAAAACCACTCTAAACGCGTGATGTCGATTATACACGTGGAGGGGAAAACTGGAGGACCCGGAGAAAAATCCACGCGACCACGGGAAGAGAGAGAGACACCGCAAACTACAAATACACAGCAGCAGGCGTCAGGGTCTGGATCGAACCCACGCCCACCTGTATACCAGGCGAGGTAGTTAACATCTCCTCGCCACCGTGATGATGATGAGAGAGAGACACGCAAACTCTAAATATACAGCAGCAGGCGTCAGGGTCAGGATCGAACCCACGACCTCCTGTATACCAGGCGAGGTAGTTAACATCTCCTCGCCACCGTGATGATGATGAGAGAGAGACACGCAAACTCTAAATATACAGCAGCAGGCGTCAGGGTCGGGATCGAACCCACGACCTCCTGTACACCAGGCGAGGTAGTCAACATCTCATAGCCGTCGTGGCGCCGACCAGGGAGAGAACAAAACAATACAAACGAGACGGAACATAAATGAAAAACAATACACAATTAAACGCCGCCTATTATATATAAGGGCCACTGTGTAATTGAAGAATCTAAATGAGTTAAAAAAAAAATAGAAATGTACAGCAATACCTCGGTTAACGAAGTCGATGCGTTCCGTCACGGCACTTAATTGTTAGGAACTTCGTTCCCAAGAGGCTTCGTTAACCGCGGCATTTCTCTCCGTGTATACAAATCCAAGTGTGTTCGTCTGCATTGCAGGGTCATTCATTCATAATTATTAAGCCACCCCCCCCCCACCCCACCCCACCCCACGTGCAATACCGAATCTGTCCACCAGAGGGCGATCACGCAACGCGCATGACGACCTGTGGATGAGCACCGGGCTTGGAGCGAACAGGCGGAGTTTGAAGTGAATGATGATGAATGTTGAACTTCCTTCGCACCGTACCTCGCCATGAGATGCCACGGCTAACGTCAGTGGCGACTGGCATCTGAATCGTCTCCTAGCCCAGGCCACCCCCCCCGCCTTCACCAACCAGCACTGACCAGCGTGGTGAAGTATGGTCAAACATGGCTGGACACGGTGTGGGGAGGCCGTTATCCAGCAGTGGATTAAGTTCTACACAGGAGTTTATTATTAATATGATCCCGCATGATTGCTTAATGTGTTAATTACAATAGTTCAAATAAACTTCAAAGTAGTTTTTTAATCTTCTTGGTTCTTTCGGTAAAGTCACGTACCGAGAAGATGAATCCCTGCAGTCACGAAAGCTTTAAATCGAAATTTAGTTTTTTAATGTTAAATATGCAAGAATATGCAAGTGCAGATAATTTGATTGCAAGTTAATCTTCACAAGATGGATTAAACATTCAACACAATCGATGTGTCTTCCGAACATCTCTTTACATCCGTTAACACAAGCGAACATTAAACATCACGAAACGACCACACACAAACTAAACTCGAACTATTTTTTATTATTTTACCAGGTAAGGCCCCACTGAGCTATGTAGCTCTTCTTAAGAAACGACCTGGCCACAAATGATCGCTCAACGAAGTGGCTTATCATCGTGTAAATGTACAGCAGCAAAATACTCTGAACGCGTGGATGTTGATTCTAAATGTGGAGGGGAAAACCGCAGAAAAATCCACGTGTCCACAATGGGAGAGAGACACGCAAACTCAAATATACAGCAGCAGGCGTCAAGGGTCGGGATCCAACCCACGACCTCCTGCACACCAGGCGAGGTAGTTAACATCTCCTAGCCACCGTAATGATGATGAGAGAGAGACACGCAAACTCCAAATATACAGCAGTCTTCAAGGGTCGGGATCGAACCCACGACCTCCTGTACACCAGGCGAGATAGCTAACATCTCGCCATCGCGGCGTCCCTCTCTAAATCAAAGGTTAAACTCGAGAGATGTGTGGAGGGAGATGCAATTTAACACCGTGACTCGCAAAACATTGGTTGCACACAAACATTTACAAAAAATGTTTAAAAGTTTTTGGTAAATTTATAAAGACCGACCAAACGCCCACAAGAACGCGCTCACGCATTGACACTCAAAGTTTGGTCTCATTTATAAGGCTTACCAGTTCAAATCCGTTCCAGAGGTATCGGCAAAATGTGGACAGACACGTAGACGCGACGACAAATACACCCCCGTCCAGCCTCAACAGACTTGTTGGTGGCCTCAGTGCTCTCCGTGGCGAGTAGCAACCCCTACGAAAGCCGTGCACGGCGCGGCACACGAGATGACAGCACACACACACAAACACGCAGGGAGCGTCACCCCCCCCCCCCCCCCCGTGTCTTGCTGTAAACAACTTCAATAAAACACCTGCCAGGACCTCCCCTGTGAGAGAGTGCGCGTGTGTGTGTGTGCGGTGTGGCAGGGGGTAGGGTGGCGATGATGCCGACCGGAGATCAGGATATTGTGTTGTGTGTGTGTCCCTGGGTTCTTAATTAATCCCCTCCCCCAAAAAAGAGAAATATTTTGACAGCAGGCGTGCGTTGTTTATACGCGAGACGAGCCAAGCAGAGGCGTTCAAATTAAAGAGGTCGTCTTCGGAGGAGACACGCGTTTGGCTGATGTGTCGCAGCTGTTTCACGGACACGTGAGCACAGCTCTCCGCCGGTCGTATGGTCCGCAGAAGACGAGAGAGAGAGAGAGAAAAGAGAGAGATGCCGCGTGTGGCCGTGGCAAGCCCGTGGTGTGGAACAACGGCTGTTAGCGAGCACCTATTAAGGACCAAACAGGTGCCACGCTGCGGTGGCGGTGAGTCGTGCCCGAGCACAAATAACAGAACAACAACAAAAATCAACTTATTCGTCATTAACTCTGCAGTGGCCTTTGAAGGCAATTTTTTAAAAAAACTATAATAGGCGACGTTTTGTGAAACAGACCTTCTTCAAAGCAGAGATGCAAATTGACGCAAGTGCACTCGTAAACACTTGCTGACACGTGGATACAAACGCTGCCAGATGCTCCACGGACTGACACCGCTCTGTTGATGGTACGGAGTGACACACGTACTGCCTGTCACGCCAACACAATAACCACCACCACCAGTGAGGTTTACACAGCGCCTGTGCCAGGCTAGGTACATACACACAGCACGACATCTTCAACGTGTGTGCTTGTCTCTGACCACATATGACAATTATAATTCAATTTATAGCAATCGTTAACGATTGTTTTATGTCAGTGATCATTTAATCGACGCCACTGATCGTATCAACAACGCGCCTTATTTTTACCCGGCAAAAAAGTACTACATTGGGATTTCTGGCCCTTTCCGATTGATGAGAGTTCAATAATGGGAAATAATTTACATTTGTAAATGCGAATTCCATCCGCAGATCCCAATGCGCCCATGTGGGAGGAGTCCGGAGAAAACCCCACCAACTCATCCCAGGGGGGGGGGGTGAGGCAACACACATCAATAAAACACCGCACGGATTGATTCGATAAATTCGTTCTCGCTCTACCCCCGGCCACCACCAGCACCACGGCGCAACATCGAGAGGCAGTTTGCTTGAGTTTTAGGGGAATTTTTGCAGATCTCTGCGTGATCCATCAACCCTCTGTCCCCACCCACCGCCTCCCAACAAAGCGCCGGGCCACCGGGGGCCACGCGCGCACACACAAACACACACACAAAGATCACCCATATAGCCTTAACAGACTGTAGGGGCAAGTGCTGTTAGCGGGCACCTATGAAGGTCGGAACGGTACACGAGGGGGTGGATGGCCAGCACCACGCCCGACCGCCTTTGTCTCCCTAGTGGCGATGTTTACACACCGCACCAGGTACTCATTTGAGGCTGATTCGACCTAGGGGAGGCCCAGAACCGGTTCAGATAATCGTCAACGGTGTTGGCCGTGAGCACACACACACGCGCGCACTCACGCACACACAAGCACACACACACAAAGATCCCCCAAATAGCCTTAACAGACTGTAGGGGCAAGTGTTGTTAGTGAGCACCTTACACACACGCGCACTCACACTCACACACGCGCGCACTCACGCACACACGCACACATGCGCGTACACACACACGCGCACACACACACAAGCACACACACACGCACGCACTCACGCGAACTCACACACACACACGCGCGCACACACACTTACACACGCGAACTCACACACACACACTCACACACACGCGCACACACACTCACACGCACGCACACACAAGCACACACTCACACACGCACACACAAGCACACACACACACGCACACACACAAGCACATACTCACACACACACGCGCACTCACACTCACGCGCACTCACACACGTCCACCACGCTGCGCCCGGCCGTATTTTCTGCGAACGGCTGCGCGTGGGATTTGACCATTGGGGGCCGTGAATTCGGTCGGTCAGAGGCGATGCTCGCGGTCCACGTGGCACTGCAGAGGCAGAGAACGTTCCAGCAGGATGACTCATTCACTCGCTCACTCATTCATTCATTCACTTGCTCGCTCCCTCGCAGGGGGATGAGTCTTGTTGCAGCCTTTGAGGAAGCAGCTCAGACTAACTCATCGCTTTTACAAGTTGATACTAAAACCTCCCCCCCCCATCTCCCCCAACACCAAAATAAACTGAACCCCTAACTCAAGTCTGACCACCACCGTCATCGCCCACTGCCGGATGAAGGCCTCGCCGTGCTCAGAGCGCCTCTCTGATTCTCGGCGTCGAGGCTGAACGTTTCGCTCGGTTTTCTTCCTGTCCTTCCCGGCGCACCCGACGACGAGCCGACGGTTCGCTAGGTACGGCGCGAAAGAAGTTCGAACCGTACACCGCGATTAGGCGTGGACAGGAGCTGTCGAGTGACGTTGGTTGCCTTGCGCGATGCAAGCTCCGACCGAGCTCGCCGCATCTCGCAGGGTGCGAATTGAGTCGGGCACACGCGCAGACGACGTCACCTCTGCGGGATCATTGGGGCATAAAGGAGTAAGCGCCCGAGGCTCACGGAGCCAGACGGAGGCAAACTCCTTGAGGATTCTCAGATGTCACCGTCAAATGGAGAGCGGCTCAGAGAGCCAGACGAAAGACACCGCTGTAATTACGAGCGCTCAACGTAATATCACCATCATCATCATCATCCGACTGGAATATCCAGTGTGACGACTGCATCTGAGTCACGTCTCGCGAGCAACATTCTTCGTTTCACATCACGTCGCCGACTAATACGACCCCAACACACAGACAGAGATAAAGATCCCCCGTGTAGCCTTAACAGACTGTGGGGGCAAGTGCTGTTAGCGAGTAGCACCTATTAAGGCCGGTACGGCACACGAGGGGGTGAGTGGACAGCACCACGCCCGGCCGCCTTTGTCTCCCTAGTGGCGATGTGTACGCACCACACCAAGTACTCGTTTGAGGCTGAGTCGATCTAGGGGAGGCCCAGGACCGGTTCAGATAATCGTCACTGGTGTTGGTCATGAGCGGGAAAGAACTCGGGTCGCCGGGTTCGTAGCGCAGACACACACACACGTACATTACCACACACACACGTACACACACACACACGTACACACACACATACACACACACGTACACACCTACACACACACACGTACACACACGTACACACACGTACACACACGTACACACACACGTACACACACACACATGTACACACACACACACGCACACACACACACACGCACACACGTACACACACACACACGTACACACGCACGTACACACGCACACACGTACACACACGTACACACACACGTACACACACACGTACACACCTACACACACACGCACATACATGTACACACCCACACGTATACACACACACGTACACACACGTACACACACGTACACACACGTACACACACACGTACACACACGTACACACACACGTACACACACGTACACACACACACGTACACACACACACCTACACACCTACACACACGTACACACACACACCTACACACACACCTACACACCTACACACACGTACACACACACACCTACACACCTACACACACACCTACACACACACACACCTACACACACACCTACACACACACACACACGTACACACACACACACACGTACACACACGTACACACACACACGTACACACACACACGTACACACCCGTACACACACACGTACACACACACGTACACACACACGTACACGTACACACACACGTACACACACACGTACACACACACGTACACACACACGTACACACATACACACCTACACACACACGTACACGTACACACACACGTACACACACGTACACACACACGTACACACACACGTACACACACACGTACACACACACGTACACACACACGTACACACACACGCACACATATACACACACACACACACACGTACACACACGTACACACACACACATCAAAGATCAAAGATCAAAGATCCCCCGTATAGCCTGAACAGACTATAGGGGCAAGTGCTGTTAGCGAGCACCTATGAAGGCCGTAACGGTACACGAGGGGGTGGGTGGCCAGCACCACGCCCGACCGCCTTTGTCTCCCTAGTGGCGATGTTTACACACCGCACCAGGTACTCATTTAAGGCTGAGTCGACCTAGGGGAGGCCCAGGACCGGTTCAGATAATCGTCACTGGTGTTAGCCGTGAGCGGGAATCGAACCCGGGTCGCCAGGTTCATAGCGCAGCGCGCTAACCGCTACACTACCGCTCCCCACAAACACACACACATACACACACGTACACACACACACACGTACACATCACACACATACACACACACACGTACACACACACACACGTACACACACACACGTACACACACACACACACCTACACACACACACACGTACACACACACACGTACACACACACACGTACACACACACACACACCTACACACACACACACGTACACACACACACGTACACACACACACACGTACACACACACACGTACACACACACACGTACACACACACACACACGTACACACACACACGTACACACACACACGTACACACACACACACACGTACACACACACACGCACACACACACGTACACACACATACACACACACGTACACACACACCTACACACACACACACGTACACACATACACACACACACACATACACACACACGTACACACACGTACACATACACACACACACATACACACACACACACACGTACACACACACATACACACACACACA